CGCCCGTTCTAATCCCACCTCTGTTTGCACGCCCTGGGCGGCAGCCATGCCCCACACACGGGGGTCCCTGCTCTCCTGTGGGGGACCCGGCCAGCGCTCCCGGCCACTGCGGCCATCTGGGGAGTGACCCGTGGACGGGCACTCTCTGGCTCTCAAGTAAGTGAATAATCTAAATTAACAGCACGGGGCGGCTATTTCCCACCTGAGCACTTAGCAGGGAAAACCAGCTCCAACTTCTCCACCTGCCCGTCACCCCTCACCCCTGCCTGTCACCCCTCACCCCTGCCTGTCACCCCTCACCCCTGCCTGTCACCTGCCTGTCACCTGCCCGTCACCCCTCACCCCTGCCTGTCACCCCTCACCCCTACCTGTCATCTGCCCATCACCCCTCACCCCTGCCTGTCACCTGCCCGTCACCCCTCACCCCTGCCTGTCACCTGCCCGTCACCCCTCACCCCTGCCTGTCACCTGCCCGTCACCCCTCACCCCTGCCTGTCATCTGCCCGTCACCCCTCACCCCTCACCCCTGCTTGTCATCTGCCCGTCACCCGTCACCCCTCACCCCTGCTTGTCACTCCTGCCCATCACCCCTGCGCGTCACCTGTCCCTTCTGTCACCTCCATCAGCCTGCCTTCCCAGGGTCCCTCTTGGGGTTCAGCCCATATGCTTACCGGCCCACCCTGCCCTGCCCTCACCAGGACATTGGCCAACACCAGGTGTCTGCATTCTGTGTCCCTCGCCTATGACATCATGTGTGGCAAATGCTGACGTCTGTGCTCTGTGCCCCTCCCCTCTGATGTCATCAGAGCCCAGCCAATCGCAGAAATCTGTACTCTGTGTCCCTCACCTATGACATCACCCAAAGCTGACCAATCCTTAGGTGCCAAGGCACTGCCCTTCCCCCACTTTGATGTCACGCACTCATGACGTCAAGGGCCTGTCCTGCAGGGGCGTGAGCTGCTCGCACCCTCTGGGACGACAGGGTGCGGGGCTGACCCCCTGGGACCCCTCAGTGCCCGCAGCCAGTCGGGAACGAGGGGGCCTGGCCCGAGCACGTCCAGGCAACATCCAGGCGGGCACGTCCAGGCAACATCGAGGCAGGCACGTCCAGGCCCGGGCACGCCAGGCGGGTTCGTCCAGGCGGCACGTCCAGGCGGACACGTCCAGGCGGGCACTTCCACGCACCTGCCGTAGAACGAGAGCCGGGCCACAGCCCGTCAGCCACACTGCCTTTCCCAGGGGACCACCTCCTCAGGGACCCCTGCCTTGGCACCCCGGGAAGGGCGGTTTACCTTTCGGAGCCGGTCTGAGATATTAATTAAGATAAATCTACCTCAATTTTGAGATTCTCTTATCGTGTAATTTATCAAAATTATGTTAATTATTTCTGTAGGGCAGTGGAATGATCACCTCTTTTGTGTCCGATTTGTATTAATATTCATAATTTAATAATTCAGCACCCTGGCCATCTGGTGCAGGAGCCAGCCCCCCGCGCCCCGGCCCGCGGCTGCCCCAGGGCCAGCCCCCAGCCCCGGCCCGGGCACAGGTAGGCGCAGGAACGGGGCGCCCCCAGCTTGGCAGGTGAGCCTGGCTGAATTGACATTTTCCACACTTTGTGAGTTTTCCACTGTAATTTGACATAATTAATGCCTACATTACTGCTGATAATTTAGCTAGTTAATTAAACTCGGAGGAGATAATTAAGGACAGACTACTGCTTGGGTTGCTAATTGTTTTTGTCATTATTTCAGGGGCCGACAGCTGCCGGCTGAGTCATCCTGTTTTGTCAGCTGACGGGTCACGTGACACGGGAAGGGGTCCCCCGGGGACCCCCATCCCACATCCGGGGGTGGGAGGCGCACAGCCAGTTACCTGGCTGCTGCCTGGAGCCTGGCCAGGCCCGTGCCGGCTGCTCCACCCGCTCCCGGTGCAGGAGTGACAGCCCCTGGCCCGGGTCCCGAGAAGGTCGGCCTCCCCACTGCCCCTGCAGTCAGCGGCCACAGGACTTCCTGGGTCAGAACGAGGACCGCGGGTGGCCAAGCAGGTGGAGAAAGAGGGCGGGCTAGTGAGGCCCAGCCCCCTGTGGGGGAGGGACAGCCCAGCACCTGGCCTTGAGTCCTGCTGCCCGTGAGCCAGGTATCCCCATCCTGTGCCCTGTCCAGGGAGTCCCCTGCTCCCCAAGGTCACCAGGCCAGCCCTGTGGGGCGCAAGGCCCCGGGCTCCGGGTCGGAGAGCAAGGCCACCCACTGGCGCCAGCGCGGGGATGCGGCCAGCACAGGGGACTGTCCCCTGCCAGGACGGTGTGACCCCACAGTGGGCCTGCACACAGCCTAGGAGGAATAAAGCACTACTTGGCACAGAGGGAACCCCACCCCCACCTGGGGCACCTGCCTTGACTTCCAGAACATTCCAGCCCAAGAGATTTCAATTCCTCCCAGCAAGGAGGCCCTGGCTGACCAAGTCCAGGACCGGCGGACCCCAGCAGGATGGTGACAGGCCCCGGGAGGCTTCCCTGCACCTGCCCTATAATCGCATGGTCCTCATGGCCGCACACTGGCTGCTGTCACCCTGTGTGGCCCACAGTGTCTGACGGTGGCCACAGCTCTTGCCTGCCAAGCCTTCCACGTCCTGCTCCACCTGGGACCCCCAAGCCCCCCTCCTGGACCTACATTCCACCCGCAGGTGTCAGGAAAGTGGACATCAGACAAAGGTACCGATGACTGCAACTTCCTGCCCACTGCTCAGTCGCACCCTCTTCCCTGAGAGTCAGCCCCTGCAACCGAGATGGACCCCTGCCATACCGCTGCGCGGAGCTCTGACCCAACAACACGCAGCCCCTTTCCAGATCGCCAAGAATGGAAACAACCCACAGGGAAACATCGCAAAGTTTAAGCCACTGGCTGCGTTTTACACCACTGGAGAGCCACTGTTTCCACTGTGCAATCTGCTGAAAGAGGGAAAGTGACCCAAGGCCTTGGCCTTCAGCCCAACCCTAAACTACTCTGTCTAGTCGGCCATGACCACCGAGGCTGTGCGTGACCTTCCGTGTCGGCCGTGACCACCGAGGCTGTGCGTGACCTCCCATGTCGGCCATGACCACCGAGGCTGTGCGTGACCTTCCGTGTCGGCCGTGACCACCGAGGCTGTGCGTGACCTCCCATGTCGGCCATGACCACCGAGGGCCGTGCGTGACCTCCCGTGTCGGCCATGACCACCGAGGCTGTGCGTGACCTCCCGTGTCAGCCGTGACCACCGAGGCTGTGCGTGACCTGCGTTGGGCACTGAATGGGACACATCGATGTCACTCTCACAGCACACCTGGGAGACCTGGCCTGGGTGCACAGGCATCCAGAGAGGCTCCTGCCTAGAGCCCACACCTGGAGACACCCAAGACCCAAAGCCCCACACAGGCGGGCCTGCTGGAGGGTCCAGGCACCAGAGGCCAAGCACGGGTAGGTACCTGCAGGCGGCAAAACCACACAGCTACGTGGGCTGCTCCGAGAGCAGGCCGGGGCTGCTGGAAGGGAGGGCAGAGGCCAGGCCCCGGGCCCTGGCCCACGTGGACACGCAGAGCCCCGTCCCCACCCCTGCCTGGCTTCTGGACAGGGACCTTGACCAGGGCTGTGCAGGGTTGCCAGCTGCACCCCAGGGCAGGGCTGGGAGGGCTATCGCTCCCCCACCTGGGAACTGTCAGGACTCAGAATCCACCATGATGGTCCCTCAGCGCAGGGCCTGAGTGTGGACACAGGGACACACTCCCCCAGGACCTGAGTGTGGACACGGGGTACTTGGAAAACAGCCCCTCCCCAGCACCGTGCTGCTCTGGGCCACCCCAACTCCTGAGGGGCTGCCTTGCCTGTGCACCTGTCGGGCACTGGGCCTCCCCTTCCTGGCAGGCCCTGCAAGAGCTGGGCAGAGGGAAGCCAGCTGCTCTGGCTGCAGGCTCAGTGTCCACATCCGGGGAATGGAACACGTCCAAGTCGCCCCATCGCCAAGTGGCACTCCACCTCCCCCTGCTGGTCAAGTGGCCACACTGCATGCGTGTCAGGAGTGTGTGTGGCCAGGAAGGAGTGTGTGTGGCCGGGAGTGTGTGTGGCCGGGAGTGTGTGTGGCTGGGAGTGTGTGGCTGGGAGTGTGTGTGGCCAGGGAGGAGTGTGAGTGGCCAAGAAGGAGTGTGTGTGGCCAGGAAGGAGTGTGAGTGGCCGGGAGTATGTGTGGCCGGAAGTGTGTGTGGCTGGGAGTGTGTGGTTGGGAGTGTGTGTGGCCAGGGAAGAGTGTGGCGGGAGGGAGGCCCCTGCTGCCAGCCCCCTCTCTGAGACCCTGAGCAGTCAGCAGGAGCTGTCATGTCCCCTCAACTCTGTGCTTGGACCCCCGGAGTGGCGGCTGAGTCACCGAGGACAGCCCAGGCAGCAGAGGCTCAGGGCACAGCCAGCCCGAGGCCAGAGGCTCGGCACTGCAGACACCCCTCTCACCACCCCAGCTCCGTGTCTCCAGGAAGCTGGCACACCCCGTGAGCTCCATGGCACTCCCCCAGCCACCCACTGGGTGTCAAGACATCCAGAAATGGCAAAGCAACTGGGCAGGATCCAAGCCCCACCCCCACTGCACCCCCACGCCACAAAGGCGCAGCCCTCCCAGGCTGACTGCGCCCAGCTCTGCTCACCAGGTTCCTGGTCACACCACCCACACCGTGGCCACTGGGAACTGGGGCTGGCCAGGGCCCGGCATGCAGCCCCCCGTGCCAGGGCCCAGCCAGGCTGCACCTGCTGAGGTCACAGGGCAAAGAAGCCCCACCCCCGCGCAGCCAGGAGCCAGCTCAAGGCCTAGCAAGGAAGGCCGGCACTTGCCCAGGCTGCCCAGCGCGGCCATGCTGAGCACACAGCTGGGCCGCGGGGGGAGGCGACAAGAGGCAGTGTGGACTTCCAGCAGCTTCTTTATTGAGGATACATGGAGTGGTGGCCGGGTGGCCCCCGAGCATGCCTGCCAGTGGCTGTCCCCTGTCAGCTGCTCTTGCTCTTCGAGGACCAGATCTTGGACAAGCGGAACTTGGATTTCTTCCTCTGCAGGCCTGGGGTGAGGGCAGGGGTGAGGGCAGGCAGGAGTGAGGGCAGGGGTGAGGGCAGGGGGAGGGCAAGCAGCGGTGAGGGCAGGGGTGAGGGCAGGGGTGAGGGCAGGCAGGGGTGAGGGCAGGCAGGAGTGAGGGCGGGGGTGAGGGCAGGCAGGGGTGAGGGCAGGCATGGGTGAGGGCAGGGGTGAGGGCAGGCAGGAGTGAGGGCAGGGGAGGGCAGGGGGGAGGGCAGGCAGGGGTGAGGGTAGGGGTGAGGGCAGGGATGAGAGCAGGGGTGAGGGCAGGCAGGGATGAAAGCAGGGGTGAGGGCAGGCAGGGGTGAGAATGGGGGTGAGGGCAGGGGTGAGTCCCCCCTTCAGATCCAGGGGAGCACCCTAGGAAGGCATCCCCACAACCATTTCAGATGCCAAGGACCACAGAGGACTCCTGCTTCAGCTGAGCCAGCCTGGCCTCCCTCACCCCTGCCCCGGGCCCTCCCTCACCCCTGCCCCGGGCCCTCCCTCCCTCACCCCTGCCCCGGGCCTTCCCTCACTCCTGCCCCAGGCCCTCCCTCCCTCCCTCACCCCTGCCCCGGGCCCTCCCTCCCTCCCTCCCTCCCTCCCTCACCCCTGCCCCGGGCCCTCCCTCCCTCCCTCACCCCTGCCCCAGGCCTTCCCTCACCCCTACCCCAGGCCCTCCCTCACCCCTGCCCCGGGCCCTCCCTCCCTCCCTCACCCCTGCCCCAGGCCTGGACGTACCCAGGCTCTGGATCATGTTCTGCAGCACCTGGTCCTCCTCCTGTTCCCTAAAACAGGACCAGGATGGTTAGGAGGAGCAGCAGGCTCCTGGGCTGCCCAGTCAGCTGGAACGGGTGCCCCTCTCCCCCAGCAGGGTCTGTGCTGGCCCCAGGCTGCTGAGGACCCCTGAGTCACCCAGGCTGAAGTGGGGCGGCTTCCAGGCAGCTCCTGGCTGCCCACCCAGCCCCCGCCCCCACCTGAGCCGGTCCTGGTCCAGGGAGTCGATGATGTCACTGCGGTCATTCACCGTGCTCAGGTACTGCTCCAGCAGCTCCTGCTCCTGCCGCCGCTCCCGCGGGGACTTGAGGCCCTCTGTGGGGACAGCGGGGGACAGCGGCCTGGGTCAGCGCCGGCCCCACCCCACCGCCCGGGCTCCTCCTCCACTGGGCGCCCAGGGCGCACGCACCGGGCTTGGCCATCAGCTGGCGCAGCTGGTCCTGGATATCCAGCTGTTGCTCCTCCAGGCGCTGGTCCTTGGACCTGCCGAGGGAGCAGGTGGGAGGCCAGGTCAGGCGGGAGGCGCTGCCTACCCCCACAGGGGTCCTGGGCCGGGCTGGAGGGGCCGCCCACCCCCATAGAGACCTGGGCCGGGCTGGAGGAGCGGGAGGCACCATCCACCCCCACAGGGACCCGGGCCACCCATCCCCATGGGGGTCCTGGGCTGGGCTGGAAGGGCCGCCCACCCCACGCCGGCCAGTCTCACTTGTACATGAGCTCCGACTCCAGCCGCAGCAGCTGCTGCTTCTCGTGAATGAGCTGGAACCACTCCACCATGAGGGCGTCCTCGGTGGCATCTGCAGAGGGAGCCAGGCTGGGCTCGGGCCACCGCGGGGATGGGCAAGGGGAGGCAGGCACTGGGCTGGGGGTGCCGGGCTCACTCACCACCCTCGGCCGCCCGTAGGCGCTTCTCCAGCTCTACGCCCCTGAGCTCCAGTGCGTCCAGCTGCGCCTCGATGTCCAGCTGCTGCCTCTGGATCTCCTCCTCAGGGACATAGTCAGGGTGCAGCTGGGGATGGGCAGGGGTAAGACAGGGGAGGGCAGCGAGGGGCCGGTCCCCCCACTCCCTCCTGGCCACTCACCCTCACTGGGGAAGTCACCGCCGGGCCCAAGGACCTCCCTGCAGATAGAGAAGTGGCAGCGTGGGCTCCAGGGCTGTTCTGGCCACATGCGGGTCACCCTGGGCCCAGAGCTCTGAGGCCCCACCCCCTGTTGCATGTCCCCACCCCAGGTCGGTGGTACCAAACCCCTCATTAGCACCAGGGGCTCCTTCCAGCCCCACGCATGAGGCCTGGGTCCTCCAGGTCCCCCCCACTCTGGCTCCTGTGCACCCCAGGCTGCAGTGCGGGGGCCACCTCCCACCCCACCCCGGGGCCCGGGCACCGGAAGGACCTGCACTGGTCCCCGAAGGGGGCTTGTCTGGCCGCTCCTTCCCATGGGCTCGCTGTCCCAAGGGCTCAGGCTGAAGCCAATCGTCAGAGATGTCCAGGCTGGGGGGCACGGCCAGTCGGCGGCGGCGGCTGGGGGAGGGAGTTGCAGTGGCCGGCGGGGGTTGCAGAGCAGCTGGAGAGCGGGGACAGAGCCATGGTCAGGCCAGCATTGCTCCGTGTGTCCCCAGCCATGGGGAGGCAGGCCCCTCACCCAGCCATGGGGAGGGAGGCCCCTCAGGACCCTGTGCCTCTTACCTGCAGGGCTCATGGGGGTCAGAGTGACGCGGGTGCTCCCCTGGGAGTCCCCCGAGGCCCTCCTGGAGCTGTCCCTCCTGGGAACATGGCTTCCTGGTGGTGTCTGCGGCTCCGGACCCCTGGGCAGGTGGCAGGGGGTCAGCTCCACACCAAAGGCAGGCCCACCAAGCGAGGCTCACACTCATGAGATGGATGCTGTCCCCATGGTAGGGGACACCCAGGAAGCACCTGCTGCCCTCCCCTCAGGCCTGAAGCCCCCTGCCCACCCTCACCTCGGGGCTGGGTTCCTCCGGGCTTCCACGGGCCTCAGGTGGGCCCGCCACCCCGCAGGTCCGTCCTGGCCTTCTGGGCCTGGGGGAGGAGGTGCAAGGGCAGGGTGAGGCGAGGTCTGTGGGGAAGGCTTGCCTGCAACTGCTACTCCCGGCCCCCAGGAGCCCCCAGCCAGCTGGGCACATTCTAGGAGCTGGGCTCAGCCCCCTTGCCCACCTCCTGTCTCCCCACTCCAGCCCTCTGCGTGTCCCCAAGGGTCAAGCTGGGGGTGTGGCTCGGCTTGGTGTGGGCGTGGCTCGGCGCGGGGGGTGGCACCTCCAGGCAACCCCCCACAGGCTCCAGGAAGAGCCTAGGCCACAGGACAGGAGCCACAGTGGCAACAACGAAGGGCACAACCAGGGCAGCCATGGGAGGCGTGGTGTGGCTGGGCCAGGGGGCATGGCCACCCTGCACATGGGCACGGGGGATAGAAGCAGGAGGCAGCCTGACCAGGAGCAGCTGGGCTGCAGCCCACCCCACTCTTACCCTGAGCTACTGGGGGCTCTGGCTTCGTCCCCGTGGGCACAGCTGTGAGACCCCCGTGTGCCCGGGGTGTGGATGTCGCGGAGGAGTGGCCCACACTGGGGGACGCCATCAGCTCTGCCTTTCCAGTGGGAACAGGGGTCCTAGAAGGAGGCAGCGGCCTGGCTGGGGGGCTGGCTTGTGGTTGTTCCGCTTTGGGTTGGGGGTCTGGGGCCGAGGAGGCGGCTGGGAAAGGCCTGCAGACAGAAGCACAGGGGCCAGCCTGGGCTGGGGTCCACTCCTCGCTGGGCCACCAGGTGACCCCTAACCTTTCCCCACTCCAAGAGTGACCTTATGAGGTTGGGGCAAGCCCCCATGCGAAGGTGGGGAGAGGAGCCTTCAGGAGCTGAAGAGGGGGCAGGGTGGGGACAGCTGGTCCTGCCCCCACAGGGGCTGCGGCCACACTCAATGACCACCCACAGCCTGTGCCGCCATCTCCTCCCTAGATGGGCAGGGGTCCCCAGACCTGCCCACCCCCTTGGCCTGGGCAGTGATCCGTCACCCACCTGGCAGACACCTGCATGTCAGTCCCCGCCAGTCCTGGCAGGGCCTTCTTGAGAAGGCTCAGTGCTCGCTCCCTGCTGCTGTCACCAGAAGCAGCTGGGTGGGTACTGGTGACCATGGCAGTGGCCGTGGTACTGATGGCCGTGGCCTTGGTGGTGGTGGCAGTGGCCTTGGTGGTGGTTGTTGAGGCCTTGGTGGTGGTGGTGGTGGTGGCCATGGTACTGGTGGCCATGGCCTTGGTGGTGGTGGTTGTGGCCTTGGTGTTGGTTGTTGTGGCCTTGGTGGTGGTGGTGGTGGCCGTGGCCTTGGTCGTGGTTGTTGTGGCCTTGGTGGTGGTGGTTGTGGCCTTGCTGGTGGTGGTCATGGCGTTGGTGGTGGTAGTTGTCGTGGCCTTGGTGGTGGTTGTCGTGGCCTTGGTGGTGGTGGCCATTGTGCTGGTGGTGGTGGCCGTGGTACTGGTAGCCATGGTCATGGCAGCAGTGGCCGTGATCCTGGTGGTGATGGCCATGCTTGTGGCAGTGGTGGCTGGAGGCTGGAGGAACCTCTCTCGGGCTTGCTGGGTCCTGGACGCCTGCAGCCTCCAGCCTGGGGCCCCCGCCTCACCTGAGGGCTTGGTCGGGAGAGTGGCCTCTTGTGCTTTGGGGCCTGGTGGCACAGCCGGGCAAGGATCCAGGGACAGGGGAGAGGCCACCACCGCTGTGCCCTGGGAAGGTGACTTCCAGCCAGTCGGGGAGCTGTTAGCCACACGCACAGTGGTGGTGGTGACTGTCGGGCTGAGGGGGCTGGGGGTGGCAGCCCGAGAGGCAGCTGCACGGGTCCGTGCGGGTTCCCAGGCTGCCCTCAGCCCGTTTGCCTCCTGGCCCTTCCTCGGGGTGCTGGGGGACCCAGTGTCCATGGGGATGGCCGCCTGCTGCCCGAGAGCTCCTCCTGGCACTCGGGAGCCAGGAGGGCTGGCTTTGGCATGCTGGGCGGCATGGGTGAGGCTGACGGACTCCCCGGTGCCTGGGTGCGGTGGCTTCAACCTGCAGGGAGAAGAGCAGGCTGTCGCTGCTGCTCCACGGCTCACGCCTCCCCAGAGCACAGACCCACGCAGGGCTGCTCTGCGGTCAGCCAGTCACGCGTCAATCCTCTCCAGCCGCAGAGCTGCCAAGAGCCTCATGGAGTGCGGACAAGCTAGCCACCCGCACACGTGAACACGTCACCCACCCGTGGGAGTGTACACGCATGGGAGAACATGTACACACGTGGGCATGTGTGGGCACCTGCGTGCGGACACGAGCCCACGCACAGGTGGAGGCCCCACCTGAAGCAGCTGCGGTGGAACAGCTTCCCGTCGGCCAGGTGCCGCTGCACCAGGTGCACGTGCTTGCCGCAGATGGCGCAGATGCTGCTGAGCAGGCCCTGGGGGAAGCAGGTGCGGGAGCCACTGACCCCAGGTGACACCAGGCTCAGCCACCCACACCCGGGCTCCCCCACCCGGCCTGCCAACAGCCAGAAAACTCCACTGGACAGACAGGAGAACCAAGGCTGACTCCAAGCAGGCCCTGGGGGGGGGAGGGTCTGGGGAGAACTTGGGGTGTCCTGTGTTCACTCGGTCTTGTTCCCACTCCTCGTGGGCCGAAGAGACAGCCCGGGACCAACAGGGGGTGCCAGTCCCCTGGGAAGCGAGGCCCACCAGCACCTCCACCCTGGGCCCACCTGCACGGTGGCCTGGTCTCAGCCTCTGTGCAGTGGGCATCCCCAGCCCACCGGGCAGGACCCCACAGAGCCCCCTACCCTCTGGTGCTTACAGACTTAGTGGCCGGGCCCTCCTCCTTCCTCTGGACCACAGAGTTGGTCCTGCCAGGGGACGATGGGGGCCCTCGGGCAGGGGCAGGCGAGGTCGCTGTGGCCAGCTGGGGTAGTGCCTTCTTTCCTGATGGTCCCTCGGCGGAGCCCTCGGGCGCCCGCTTCACACCAGCAATACCCCCAACTGCAAGATACGGGGTCGGGGGTGGGCCCAAGGCTGGCTCCCACGGCAGGGTGGGAACTGTCCTCGGGCAGGGGAGGGGCAGAGTGGACGCCTGGCCTGGTCAGCTCTGCCGTGCGTGTCCCTGGGGCAGCGCTGGCCCGGTGCCTGCCCACAAGGACTCCGGGGATTTCTGAGGTCTTGAGGAGGAATGTGGGGTGGACGGGAGCCCAGGGCTGGAAGACGCTGAGTCAGGAGGGGAAGGGTGAGGGACCCCGGGCCAGAGGAGGGGGTGCAGCAGGGAGGCCCAGAGCCCTTGCAGCAGGACAGTGCCCTGACACAGTCCCACGGACCCAGCACAGGGCCCAGAGTAGAGCAGGGCTGGGTGCCAGGCCAGGGGAGATAGCATGCACGGGGCTGGCAATCATGGAGACAGGGTGGGCAGGGCTGGTGGCCACGGTGGGCAGGGCTGGTGGTCACAGTGGGTAGGGCTAGTGGTCACAGTGGGCAGGGCTGGTGGCTGTGGTGGGCAGGATGGACAGGGCTGGTGGCCATGGTGGACGGGGCTGGCGGGCAGGGTGGAAGGGCTGGTGGCCGCAGAGCCCAGGAGCCCGTGGGCAGTGCTGGTGGCTGTGGTGGGCAGGATGGACAGGGCTGGTGGCCAAGGTGGGCAGTGCTGGTGGCCATGGTGGACGGGGCTGGCGGGCAGGGTGGAAGGGCTGGTGGCCACAGAGCCCAGGAGCCCATGGGCAGTACTCACTTGGAGAACGTCCATGGAAGTAGTTGTAATACTGGGACACGTAAGTTAGGATACTTAGCCGGTCAGGAACCTTCAGGGCCACCATGTCCTCGGCCTCCAGCAGGGCAGGGATGCCCAGCTTCTCCTCAGCCACAGTGAAGGCCTGGGGAGGTAGGCAGGCACCGGCTTGGCACCAGGGAAGGGTCTGAGGGCCGGAGTGTGGGCCTACAGCCCTGGCCAGGCCCTCACAGCACCCCAAGCCCTGCACAGCCCTGTCCACTCTGGCCTGATCCACCGGGCTGCCCGGCTCTCCCCGGGGACAAGCGGGGACCCAGGAGTGGCTGGGCCCTGGGAGCCCACGCCACGGGTCGGGGAGGGCTGAGCAGACACAGAGGGCTGAGCAGGCACAGAGCACCTGTGCACGTCTGGGGGTCCCAGAGCCCCCCAGCAAGGCTGTCCTGGCACCCACAGCCCCCTGGCACAGCTGCCAGGCTGCCCAGGACCCTGCTCACTGACTGACTCACCTACATGGGCCAGGGCCAGGAATCCCACCCACGTCCCCTCCTCAGGCGGAGACCCCCCAGCTCTGCCAGCCCCTATACTCACTCGGAGGAGACGGTGCAAGGGCCGAGAGCTCCACTTGCCCGCTGTGGCCAGGCCCTGGGGCCCCCAGCTCTACCCTCTCCCCATGACCCAGCGTTCAGAAACTTCTCTGGGCGGAAGGTTATGCCCTGACCTAGCCACAGCAGCTTCTCCTGGCTTTGAAAGCAAGACTCCAAGAGCTCGCTGCTGCTCCAGGGCCCTGCTGCCCAAAGCCCCGGGAACCCCACTGCCCCACTGCTTCACTGCCCCACTGTCCCCAATGCCTCCCTGTCCCCACTGCCCCGCTGTCCTTACTGCCCCGCTGTTCTCACTGCCCCGCTGTCCCCACTGCCCTGCTATCCCCGCTGTCCTCACTGCCCCGCTGTCCCCACTGTCCCGCTGTCCCCACTGCCCCGCTGTCCCCAATGCCTCCCTGTCCCCACTGCCCCGCTGTCCTTACTGCCCCGCTGTCCCCGCTGTTCTCACTGCCCCGCTGTCCCCGCTCTCCTCACTGCCCCGCTGCCCTGCTGTCCTCACTGCCCCGCTGTCCCCGCTGTCCTCACTGCCCCACTGTCCCCGCTGTCCTCACTGCCCCGCTGTCCCCACTGCCCCGCTGTCCCTGCTGTCCCCATTGCTCCGCTGCCAGAAGCCCCGGGGACCCTGACCTCCAGTCCTGTCCAGTGACCTCAGACAGGCTCCTCAGAACCTCTCCTGCTGCAGCCCACCCAGCCAGCCCCGAGGGGCTGAGCACACCTCCATGCCAGCAACACAGCCCAGCCTGGCTTGTCCCGCTGGGGACCCAGGCCTGGGAGCAGCAAGGGACCGGGCTACCCTTCTGAGCTGGTGCTGCTGCAGGGCCCGGGCGCATGGTCTGTGGCAGGGCCGGGGTGCATGGTCTGTGGCAGGGCCGGGGCGCATGGTCTGTGGCAGGGCACGGGCGCATGGTCTGTGGCAGGGCACGGGCGCATGGTCTGTGGCAGGGCCGGGGCGCATGGTCTGTGGCAGGGCCGGGGCGCATGGTCTGTGGCAGGGCCGGGGCGCATGGTCTGTGGCAGGGCCGGGGCTGCCCTCACCAGCTTGTTGTTCTCATAGATGTCTTCCTTCCTGAGCTTGCTGAAGTCCCTGCAGGAGAGAACACGGGTCCACAGCTGTGCCACGAGCCTAGAGGGCGTCGGAGGCCCAGAGTGGGCAGGGGGCTCCCTCCGAGAAGCCCTGCCCCACCTGCCCCGGGCACAAGGGACAGAGGGCAGGCCCAGGGCAGGCTGGGCCCAGGGCAGGGGCAGAGCACACACATGTGAGAAGCGGGCACAGGCCTGGCCCCAGCTCTGCAGCTCTGGGACCCGGTGCCCGGGGCATCACTGGCTGCCCTCACCCCCAGGGAGGGACAGTGCCTCGGGCCGCAGGCTGGACACACAGGCACATGAGCACACCTGCACACTCAGCCACAGGGCTGCAGGCCAGTCTACACAGCTGAGCTTCCCTGAGTGACCAGGGCACAGCTGGCCCTCAGTGCCCGCAGGTCCCCAGCACCGCCCCCGCCCATACACAAGCTCTAACCAGGACCCAGCCCTAGCCGCCGGTAGAGACACCTGCAGTTAAACGGGGATGAGTCGGGGCGGCGGCCAAGGCCCGGCTTGGGCACCCACTTCTACGTCAGAGTCCTCGCTCTGCTTCTGTCCACTTCCTGCACACCCGCGGGGGACCCTGAGGGAGCCCCGGCTGCTGGGGGCCGCTGGGGAGTGAGACACGGATCTCTGTGGGGCTCCCTGCTGCCACCCGGCCTGGGTCCCATCCACTCGGCCCAGCTCAGACCTCGGGTCGGGATTTGAGCCCAAATTGCAGACGAGCAGACTGAGTGTGGGGCAGCAGCCCAAGACCACCATGCTCCTGGGTGGACAGACAGCGGCAGCCACCCCTGCCCCAACTCAGCTAGTAGAGGAGGTGGTCTCTCCTGCCAGCGAGCCAGTCCTCCCGGGGCGCATGGAGCCAACCCTCCGGGCTCTCCCAAGGTTATTGGCCACTTGAACTGCAACCCCTGTGAGAGACGCCAGCCTGGCAGGGCAGAACAGCACCTGCCCCACCTCCGTCCTTCCTTCCCACAGGCTCAGCACTGAACGTCGGGAGCTGCGGGCCCCAGGGAGGCCCCTAGGACCAAGTCCAAGCCGGCTCCTGGACCCTTGAGGCTCCTAAGGTTGCGTGTGGCCTCCATGGCTGGTCCACGGGGAGCAAGGTCCACCACAGGCTGGTCCACGGGGAGCAAGGTCCACCACAGCTCCCTGCCTCCCAGCCCAGCCCAGCCCACCACCCTTGACCTGGGTTCAAGCAGTCCCTGGGCCCACAGACCCTGTCCCAGCCCTGCCTGCTGCCTGGTCGGGCAGCTCCGATGACCTGCAGGTCCCATGAGCAAACTGAGTGCCCCACACTGTTTGCTCATCTGTAAATCGGGCCCAAATCCTGATCTGAGGCCTGACCTGGGCTGTCAGACCGCCCCCTCTCTGCCTCACCCAGGCGGTCACCTCTGTCCCAGCTGAGCTTGGAGGCCATGCCAGGACAGTCCGATCTGAGGACTGAGCCCCCAGACAAGTTCAGCACAGCCAGCTCCTAGCCAGAGGGGCCCGCATTCCGGACAAAATGCCCCAGCATCCTAACCTCCGGGACGCCCCACAGGGATCCTCTGAGATGCAGGGGTGTGGCCAGTGTCCTCCGGCTGCCCCCGGCTCCCCTGGGCTGTGTGCCCCCTCTGTTCTGGAAAGCACTGGGGGGAGGGGGCACTTGGTCTCCTCATTCCCAACTCGCCACCCGTCCTGTCCATATTTATTTATTCAGTTTATGTATTTGAAAGGCGGAGTAGCGGTGGGCAGGCCTCCCCCGGCAGCCATGGCTGGTTCAAACCATGGCCGGGGCCCAGGAGTGCCAGCTAGTGTCTTGCGTGGGCTCCCGGAATGCTAACCGCAGCGCCCCGGCAGCGCCCCGGCAGCGCCCCGGCAGCGCCCCGGCAGCGCCCCGGCAGCGCCCCGGCAGTGCCCCGGCAGCGCCCCGGCAGCGCCCCGGCAGCGCCCCAGCCTCTCGGCTGCTACCACACAGCCACTGCCCCGCTGTTGCTTGCTGAGTAAGATTCCTGGGGTACAGGGCTGAGCCTGTGAGTTCAGGGGTCCACGAGGGCCTGCTGCCGCTCAGGGGGTGCGGGGGGTCCGCCTTGCGGCCAGGGAGCCCCAGCCCCTCTCTTCCTGGCAGGCCATCTGTCTATCCGTCCAGGGGATGCTCTCCCTTGCCGACATCCCGGAAGGGCTGACCTCATAAGGCTTGTTTTCTGGAACAAATTACTGCCTCGGGGGCACGGGAGGGCCGGGAAAGTCCCCCGGCAGAGCAGGGACTTTTTCCAGGCCCCCACAGCACATCTGGAGTTAATCCTACCAGGAAGGGGGGAGGGGAGACACAGAGGTGGGCAGGACACACGGCAACAGGTGGGCGGCACGAGGGTGGTGGCGTCCAGAGGGACCCACAGGGCCAGAAGCTGCTGGGAGAGGCCGGCCAGCAGGACGGCAGTGTGCGGAGGGGGCCAGCAGAGCCCCAGCTGGCCGGCCTGGGCCGCCCACGGAGCAGGGCTGCACCCCTCCCGCCTGCCTCCTGCTCCAGCACGCCTGGGCAGGGAACAGGAGCCTTAGTGTCCGCCAAGCAGCTTCCTGCCGACCGCCAGGCTGCGTGGGAAGGTCAGCCGCCTCGGCCGAGGCCCAGCTGCCTCTGGAGCTTCTGGCAGCTCCCTGCCCCCCAACAGCAAGCAGTCTCGGGGACCACTATCCCAGAACCGCCATCTCACTGCCCACTGCCTAGGCACACCGGGCAAGAGCCTAGCCCATTCCGCCAAGACAGGCTCAGCGCCTGGCCCCTGGCAGGTGTGGCCTCACCCAGGAAACATGCCCTGTGGGCAGGTGCCTAGAATGGCTGGTTGAGCCCAGGGCTCGAGTGCTATGCCAGGCCTGGCTCCTGACCACACCTCCCAGGTGCTGTCCAGCCTGGGGAGCCGCAGGGGCACATGTCCAGGTCTCTGCCCTCCCATGAGCCGCCGGCCAGCAGGGCAGAGGCAGTGCTGGGGTCTCGGCGCCCCACCTGGCTGGCTTGGTGCCGCAGGCTTGTTCCTTCCCAGCCACTCCCTGTGCAATGGCAACACCCTCAGCACGGAGCAGGAAGGACTAGAACCAGACAAAGGGCAGAACTTCCTGGTGGCAGCCGGGGGACAGGATGTCCAGGCTCCTGCTGCCCTTAGGTCTCAGGAGTGACGGAGGGACATGGCCAGCCTTCAGCATCCCCGGGGGGCTGGAGGACAGGGGGCCACCAGGGCTGTCCACCTTCACACGCTCCTCCCCCAGGGGCCCGGCTGGCAGTGGGGACAGAGGAAGCCCACTGCTCTGAGGCACCGTGAGCCGCAGCTCCGTCCCCCTCCAGCCCGCTCTGAGCAGGGCAGCAGAGGGGACACGCGTTGTGGACAGCCCTGCTGGGGGCCCTGGTTGGCTGGTACGGCGGACAGCCAGACACCCAGTGTCTACAGGTGCACCCATTCTTGGCTGCGGAAAGTGAGTGCGTGGCAACACACATGTGTACACGCCAGACCCTGTACACACCCACACGCTGGGCCCAGCACACACACACACACACTGGGCCCAACACACACATACACTGGGCCCGGCACACACATACACATGCACACGCAGGGCCCGGCACACACACACTGGGCCCAGCACACACACATGTACACACCAGGCCCGGCTCATGAACACACACATGCAAACCCTGGCCCAGCACACGCACATGCAGGGCCCGGCACACACACACACACACACACAGGGCCCGGCACACACACACATACATGCACACCCAGGGCCCGGCACACACACATGCTAGGCCCAGCACACACACACACACACGCACACGCAGGGCCTGGCACACACACACACAGGGCCCGGCACACACACAGGGCCCGGCACACACACGCACACACAGGGCCCGGCACACACACACACACAGGGCCCGGCACACGCACACGCAGGGCCCAGCACACACATGTACACACCAGGCCCGGCTCATGAACACACACATGCACACCCTGGCCCGGCTCACACACACGCACACACAGGGCCCGGCACACACACACATACACGCACACGCAGGGCCCGGCACACACACACTGGGCCCAGCACACACACACACACACAAGGCCCAGCACACACACACACACGCACACACGCAGGGCCCGGCACACACACACTGGGCCCGGCACACACACACTGGGCCCAGCACACACACACACACACGCACACGCAGGGCCCGGCACACACACACACACACGCAGGGCCCGGCACACACACACTGGGCCCGGCACACACACATGTACACACCAGGCCCGGCACATGAACACACACATGCACACCCTGGCCCGGCTCACACACACAAGCACCAGCCTTGACCCTGGCACAAGTGGGCGCAGATGGACATTCTTCGGGCGGGAAAGCCCCACCTCTCCCTGCGAGGCTGCTGCGGCCCCTGGGGACCCCCACGCGCATCCACGCCAAGCCCCTGAGGGTGATGGCCGCCGGGCCCCCTTGGTGGCTCCACACGCGCGCTCCAGGACCTCAGGGCTGGACCCCAGCTTTCCCATAGGCAGCCTGGGGGACTGGACGAGGCCTCAGTGCACCCGTCTGCTCCTAGGACAACCGCTCCTCCAGGAGCCCGGGCTGTGGGTGGCCCGGCCGCGAGCCCAGCCCTGAGGTCCAGGCGCCCAGCTCTCCCTGGGCAGGCACGCTGACCCCGGCCACCCTGGGGTGCCGCCCGCCCTCCGACGGCCGGGCAGCGTGCACTCACAGCAGATCGGGCCGGTGGCGGTGCAGGATGGCACAGAAGGCCAGGCCGTCGCGGAACGACGTGGTCATGTTGGTGATGTCCACGTCTCGGTAGCCCTCGCACTGCTGCCGGCACCATTGCTGCAGCGCGCGCAGCGCGGCCATGCGGGCGGCGGGACCCCGGCCGCTCCCCGGGCCTCACGGGCGCCGGGCTCCGCTCCCCGGGCCTCACGGGCGCCGGGCTCCCGCTGGACGACCGGGCCTCACGGGCGCCGGGCTCCCGCTGGACGACCGGGCCTCACGGGCGCCGGGCTCCGCTCCCCGGGCCTCACGGACGCCGGGCTCCCGCTGGACGACCGGGCCTCCTCCAGCCACGCCCCCGGGCCTCCTCCAGCCACGCCCCCGGGCCTCCTCCAGCCACGCCCCCGGGCCTCCTCCAGCCACGCCCCCTGCCTTCTCCAGCCACGCCCCCGGGCCTCCTCCAGCCACGCCCCCACGCCGCGGAGCTTCGGGATAGGCCCCAGCCGACCAGGCCCTGTCCCGGATAAACCACGCCCCCGCGCCGCTTCGGCAGACCAGGCCCCGCCCTAGGGCTGTCAGGCCCCGCCCCGGCCCCGCCCCTGCCCGGGAACAGGGAAGGAGCCGCGGGAAGGGCCGGGCGGACGGACACGCGGGCGGGCGGACGGACGGACGGACGCCCCGGCTCCCCGTTTGCTCCCCGGACTGGGAATCCCGCTCGTCCTCGGCGCCTCGCCCCCCTCCCCGGAGTTAGAGGAAGGCGAGGCTGCCCAGGCAGGGCCTCCTGCGGGGCTCCCCGTCGGGTCCCACTGCCCAGCGCCCGGGGTGCCCTCCCAGCTCGCACGGCAGCGGTGCCCGGGGTGGAGACCAGCCCCGAGCCTCGTGACCATGGCCGTCCCCCGCTCCCGGCCGGGGACAAAGGGCATGGCCCAGCCTGCCGAGAACCTGAAAAGCCGGTCAGGAAGTGGCAGCCCTGTGGGAGGTGGCCCCGACACCCCCTGCCCGCTCCGCCCTCCTCCCTGGCCGGGCCAGCCCCGGGCTCCCCCCCCCCCCCGGCAGCCAGGTGACCAAGCCCTTCCCTGTCGCCAGCCGGAGCTGGGTAAAGTCCTGCCCTTATCGCTGCCACGCCACCGACGCCAGCAGCCGCGGGTCCGTGGGCCGAGGGCGGGCGTGGGCCGCGGCCCCCCCGACATGACCGACCCCTCCCTGACCCTTTCCCACGTTGCCTCTGGCCAGATCTCACCCCTTGGACTGTGGGTGCCAGGCGGGGTGCCCGTCCTGCACTGCCCTCACTGGGTCCAGCCCAGGTCCGTGACACAGGGAAGTCCTCCCGTGCCCTCGCCCCACCTGTCCCCTGCACGCCGTGGCCACTTGCCAGCCCAAGCCACCTGGGCTCTGTCCCCTGGATTCATTTTTGCTAGAAAGGCCTCGCCCGCTGGCCCACTTGCCCACGGTGCGGGTGGCAGGGCCCTGGAGGGCGAGCACCTACAGATGCCCTCAGCTGATGCCAGCAAGCGCTTGCTGAGCTCACAGGCCTGGTCAGCACCAGCCCCCACACCATCCCCGGGGAGGGGGCATCTCAGAGCCGCCCCTGTGGTCTGACCCCACCTCCCTGGACGTGCCGCTGCGCCCTGGCTGGCAGCCCCGCCGGCGCCCGGGCTGGGGGGCCACTGCGTCCTTGCTGTGGCCCCAGGTCCCAGGAAGGTGCACGGGGCACACGGACTGTCCACAGCCGAGTGACCCCAAGGCCGTGGCGGGAGGCTCACTCACCGATTAATCAGGCCCAGCGAATGACGCCGACAACGTGTCTACACGATGCCTGGCGTGTGGCTGGCACGCTCTCACCCCAAGCTGCTCCTCACGCGCCAGGCGCTGCGACCGGGCACTCCCGCCGCTTGGTTATTAACGGCCTTCCTGGACGGCGGCGGCCTCCGCCGCACACAATGCACTATAAATATTTGATCCAGCATCGCGGTCCGCCATCCATCATTTATAGCGGGTTACAAAAACATTATAAAACATTTACCGCACATTTATAGATCATTTCGGCTACCGCGACGATGTGTTATAGATGCATTATTAATCCTGCTCATGCCTTTCACGGGAGCCTCTTGGCGCCGGGCCTGGCTGCTCCAGGCCTGCCCTCGTGCTGTGTGTCCCTGGCCGGCAGCTGTACCTCTCTGTTCTCAGAGCCCAGGGCTCAGGTGCTGCTCCTTCACACGGCCCTCATGCCCCTTTCTGTACCCTCTTCCCAGCTGCCTAGCCAAGCAGCCGCCCCCAGTCCCGGCCTGTGCTGGAACCCTGGGCGCGAGCCAGAGGCCCTGCCCCACCCAGCTCCTCTCTGCGTGGTCAGGCCTGCCAGGGCTCTGCTCCCCACTCCGGGACAGGGTACTTCTGCCCTGACCCCCAGGAGCCAACTTCGGGGGGCTCATCGTTCTGCCTGCCTATGGGGCCTGGAGCCCCCAGCTCTCCCGGAAGAAAGCAGGGGGCAGAAAGAACACAGGGCCAGGACCACCAGGGCTGCTCCCACCCGCTGCCCCCACCCCAAGGCGGGGCCCCGCTCCCGGCCCCCAAGTGAGTGGGGGGGCACGGGTTAAGGGTCAGGGACTCCCAGGGCAGAACTGCAAGTGACAGCAGCACAGACAAGGGCCAAGGCCGCCTGGCCCGGAGGAGGCTGGAACGCCCATACCCGGGGCCCCTCCACACCTGCGAAGAAACAGGCCTGCAGTGGCACGTGAAGTCACTGCCTGCCATGCCCTTTGCACCCAGCTCCCTGCTCCCAGTCTGGGAAGGGCGTGAGAGCTGGCCCCAGCCGGGCGAACCAGCAGGTGTAAGCTCTCGGGCAGGTCCCTTCCAGGAGGCAGGTCCTTTCCAGGGAGGCTGGCCCCTTCCAAGGAGGCTGGTCCCTTCCAAGGAGGCTGGTCCCTTCCAAGGAGGCTGGCCCCTTCCAGGGAGGCTGGCCCCGAGCTCTGTAGCCTTCCCAGCAGGGCTCTCCTCCGACGGCTGCTGCCGACCTGGCCAGCCAGTCAGTGCTGGGCCTCGCGGAGACGACTGGGGGAGAGGCCGACCCACAGCCAGGCCACAGGCCGGCCAAGGTCCCAACAGGGAGGGGAGCCCCAGGAAGACACCACAGCAGTGTGCAAGCCTCTGCCCTAGCCTGAACAGCCTGGAACCTGGACCACTGTGTGGACACCTCCCTGTGGGTGGAGGAGAGAGGAGGGGTGCACGTGCAGGGGTGCAGAGCTGCGGGTCAGGTCCAAGTGCTCCCGGCTCGGACAGTGGGATGCGTCACCAAGCCAGCCACCTGGGGCGGGCAGGAGCCCAGCCCAGTACTCCACCCCTGTCCACTGCCCATGCGCAATGTGCCCACCAGGGCTTCCCCGCTCCGGGCCTGCAAGGTCTCCACTAACCGGCCACAGCTCGGCACTGGTGCAGACAGACCCCAGCAGAGGCAGGGTGACCAAGGCCCATCCCATGCATGTCCTGGGTTTCCCCCAAGGCCAGTGCTGGACCAGCCGTCTCCTCAGCGGTCATGCCTGCCCTTTAGCCCTCCCGGCAGGCTGTGCAGTGCCCAGGGCTCTGCTGGGCGGCTGCATCTGACCACCTGCCCGAGGCCTGAACACCTGCGGAGAACCTCCCCCGAGGCACCCATCCCCTCCCCATCCCCCCCCCCCGTGCCCACCTGCAGGTGGAGTCAGGTCTGCTCCCACCTGCAGGTGGAGTCAGGCAAGCAGACATAGGGGTGTCTGCTGCTAGCCCCATGTGCCCTGTGCCAGGGACACAGAGGCAGGTGTGGGTATGGGAGAAGCCAAGCGTATACTGGGGGCCTGGGGCAGAACGGCAGCTCTGTGTGGAGAGGGGCTGCGCTGGGCACTGCCACCCCATTGCTGGCTGTCTCTCCAAGTCATCGCCATGCAGCCTCTTGTCCCCCACCCCAAGCCCTGCAGCTGCAGGGGTGGGCTGGGCAGACGTGAGACCCTCGGGGAAGGTCATGGGCCCCCAGCCAGGGCGCTGCTGCCGACCTTGGGCCCTGGGCAGCGCCTGTCCGTCCTCTAAGCCACAGTGCCCCCTGGTGGCCTCCCCAGGCCCAGCACGAGTGAAGCCAGCCTGGGCAGCCTAGGGTCACGTCCAGATGCCAGAGGGCCTTTTGGCGGTGGAAGGCAGGCAGGGCAGGAAGTGAGAGCCCGTTCCAAGGTGAGACCAGCTGGGAGGTGCACCCCAAGGCAGGGGGTCTGCTCCCATTCCCGCACCGGGCAGTCAGGATCACGGCTGCTGACTGCCTCGCCACCAGCTCCACGATGTGGCTAAGCCCTCTGGGGCCTGCTGGCTTTTGGGGAGAAGATTGGTAAGCCCGGCCGGGGCCTGCTGAGGCTGACCCCTGGGGACCCCTGGGCAGAGCCCCGACAGGGCAGGCAGCCCATGCAGGCCTGGCCTCCATCGGCACCACCCCAGAGTAACACAGGACAGCAGACGGGCACGCAGGACTCAATGCTTCATTCAGCACACGCCCAGGGCACATGAGCACGCACGGTCACATGACGGCCTCCATGTGCAAGATCCTGAGGGCCTCGGAGATCTGGGGGCTGGTGTCCATCTGTCCGTACATGCCCACCAGGAAGGCACGGTGCAGCAATACGGCCGCATGTTCTGTGGGAGACGAGGCGTCAGGGCCGGGGGCCGGAGGTCGGGGGTCAGGGGCCATGGGCAGGGGCTTGCAGGTCAGGGCTGGGGGCAGTAGGCGGGTGGCTCACCTTGGCAGAGGAGCGTGTACTCAGGCAGGTTTCGGAGAGCCGTCTGCACCACCTCCAGGTCCCGGCTCCCCAGGCAGCACATGACCGTGGGCAGGAAGTCGGCTGCGATGCTGGGAGACACACATGTGTCAGACACCTCCTTCCTGCGCCCGGCCAGGAGCCCTGTGGCCAGGCCTGTCCGGGAGCCCCGTGGCCGTGGCGGGGCCTTCCCCCAGGCCCACCTGGGGTTGGTCTGGATGGAGCCCCGTGGCCAGGCCTGTCCTAGAGCCCCGTGGCCGTGGCGGGGCCTTCCCCCAGGCCCACCTGGGGTTGGTCTGGATGGAGCCCCGTGGCCAGGCCTGTCCGGGAGCCCCGTGGCCGCGGCGGGGCCTTCCCCCAGGCTCACCTGGGGTTGGTCTGGATGGAGCGCAGGGCCAGGCTGAAGGCCAGGTCACGGCAGGACTCCTCAGCCGAGCTCATCAGCCGCTGCAGGTTGGTCTGGCAAGCGGGGCAGGAGAGCCAGGTGAGCCAGCGCTGCACCTTCACCCTCGGGGACACGCCACAGGGGACAGGGCCTCCGCCTGCCCACCCGCTCGCTCACCGAGAAGAAGCCAAGGATCTCGGGCCTCCGCCGGGACATCTCCTCCACGTCACTCAGCACCTCCAGGAGGTCTAGGAAGGCACGGGGCGTCTGAGGGCCACCAGCCCAACGGCCGGACATCCCCGAGGCCGCCCCCCATGCACCCCATGGTGGGAGTCCGCAGGCCACGTAGAGGCCCCACTCACCCTCCACCGTCTGGCCACGCGACAGCCTCTTCATGTAGGGCGCCATGTCGGCTGCGGTCAGTGGAGTGGACAGGGAGACGCTGACCAGGGGCAGTGAGCTGGCTGAGCGCTCATCTGCAAAGGTGGGGGCCCAGTCAGGGCCCAGGACATGAAGGCACAGCAGCCCCTCAGGCAGCATGGCAGCACGGCCCGACTTGGTGCTCCTGCCAAGCCCTTGACGCTGCCCCCCACAGGCATGCAGACGCTGTCAACGGGGCCCTCGCTGTGGGGCGGCCCCCACTGGGCAGGTGAGGGCCCCAGGCGGGCACAGGGCTGAGCCGGCAGCCAGGCAGGAGCCCCTGAGAGGGCCAGGAGACTCCAGGTGACCTAAGCGCCACTTCCCAAGCCTCCCCAACAGCTGCCATGTAGGGGACACGCAGCACCCACTCACCCTCGCCCTCCTCGTCCAGGCCACGGGCGGATCGGCCATCTGTGCTGGGGGGGCTGAGCCCCGCCAGGAGCGACTTGAGCATGGCCAGGTCACTGTTCTCGAAGGACAGGTCGCTGGGGAAAGAGCCGGGGTCAGCAAGGGGAGGCAGCTGTGCGGGTGTTGAGTCAGGGCGGCCGGGCAGGGCACTCACTGGAGCGGGTCGGCGTGCTGCTGCAGGAAGGACACCGCGGCGGGCGCGTTGCATGTCAGGTACCTGTGGATGAGCTGCACAAACTTGCTGATGAAGGGGGCCAGGTGACGGGACGACTTCCGGTAGTTCTGGGGAGACACCGGGCAGACCAGGGCAGTGATGGCTAGCACAGCCCTGGGACACGCCTGCCGCATGCAGAGCTGAGCGCTGGCACGGCCCAGTCCCCGTGTGGGTGCAGACACTCAGTGCCCGGGCAGGAGGGGACGGGGCAGTGTAGACGCTTAGTACACGGGCAGGAGGGGACGGGGCAGTGTAGACGCTTAGTACACGGGCAGGAGGGGACGGGGCAGTGTAGACGCTCAGTACCCTTGCAGGAGGGGACAGGGCAGTGTAGATGCTCAGTGCCCGGGCAGGAGGGGACGGGGCAGTGTAGACACTCAGTACCCGGGCAGGAGGGGACGGGGCAGTGTAGACACTCAGTACCCGGGCAGGAGGGGACGGGGCAGTGTAGACGCTTAGTACACGGGCAGGAGGGGACGGGGCAGTGTAGACGCTCAGTACCCTTGCAGGAGGGGACAGGGCAGTGTAGATGCTCAGTGCCCGGGCAGGAGGGGACGGGGCAGTGTAGACGCTCGGTGCCCGGGCAGGAGGGGACAGGGCAGTGTAGACGCTCGGTGCCCGGGCAGGAGGGGACAGGGCAGTGTAGATGCTCAGTGCCCAGGCAGGAGGGGACGGGGCAGTGTAGACACTCAGTGCCCAGGCAGGAGGGGACGGGGCAGTGTAGATGCTCAGTGCCCGGGCAGGAGGGGACGGGGCAGTGTAGACGCTCGGTGCCCGGGCAGGAGGGGACAGGGCAGGTACAAGGGACACCACTGTACATCACCAGGGCTGTGCTTGGCTTCTTGCAACATGGAAGCCAGCCATCCAGGCTATTACGTGGCTGCACTCGGGGACCCTGCCCCCCAAGACCTGGCCAGCACACCCACCAGGAGCAGACGGATGAAGGAGAGCAGGCAGTCCCAGAGCGCCCCCTGGTGCTCGCTGCGGAACACCTGGGGCTGCAGCAGCCCCAGCACGCCCAGCACGTGCAGGAAGAAGGTCAGGTGGTTCTGCTGCCGGAACTCCTGGAAGTTGAGGTGCGTGCGGCCATGCAGGAGCGCAGCAATCATGGGCAGGTGCCTGGGGACAGCAGGGACCTCAGCCAGGAAGCACTGACCAGGGCAGCCAGCTCCAACCCGCGCCCCAACCAGAAACATGTACCCCAGAAAGGGGCAGCTAGCTCAAGCGACCGCCCACAGGCAGGGTTCCTGGCAAGGGTCAGCAGGTCTCCTGCTGGGGTCCCCTGTGGTGGCTGCCCCCGCCCGGGCTCAAGGACCGGGCCGCACCTAAGCAGCAGGATGGGGTGGGCCACTGCCAGCTTCCTGCAGGCCATGTTGGCATCAGCCACTCGGTTCTCAGACGCCCGGGAGTCGCTGGTGTCCGCCAGGAGTGTGATGAAACGGTGAATGAGTCCGTCCAGCTGAGGAGAGTACGTGTGAGGGCCATGCCCACCGAGTCAGCCCGTCTAGCCGGGGGTAGGGGTGAGGGCCATGCCCACCGAGTCAGCCCGTCCAGCCGGGGGTAGGGGTGAGGACGGGGAGCCTGCACACAGGAACCTTGACCCGAGCAGGCAGCGTGTGCAGCTAACCTTGCTAAGGAACACAGAGCAGCTCTCAATGCTGAAATGACACACCCAGAGGGAAACGCCCAGTTCGGCCAGCACCCGCTCTCAGGCCCAGGCTCTCCCAGGAGCACCATGCCAGCCCGCCTGGCCACGGCGCTGTGAGCATGTGGGCAGAGGGGGCTCCAGGGCGTACAAGGACACCTCCCCTGGCCCCACCATGGTGGTGATGGCTTCCCAGGAGGAGAAGCCCAGCACACCCGTCACACCCAGAGGCTGACAGGGCTAGGGACAGGACAGGATCTGCCTGTGGGAGGGAAAGCCAGAAGCACCCACACCAGGCACAGCCCAAGACTTTGGAGAGCCGGACCCTCAGGTGCCCTGCAGTGAGAACAGCTGCCAGCAGGGCAGAAGGGCAATGGCCTCACCTTGCATACGCTGCTGCCAGCGGCCCCCTCGCCACACAGCGGGACGTCGGGCACAGGCCCCCGGAGCTCCGGCCTCTGCAAGTAGAGCTGCAGGAGCAGGTCTTGGCAGCGCCTGCCCATCGTGCTGCAAGAGAGCAGACAGGGCTCACAGGGGAGCTCCCGCCAGCCACCCGCCGGCCAGGGCACCACCACGCACCTGTCCCCCCACTGCTGGATGCAGTCCGTCAGGTGCTCCGTCACTTTCCGGACACCCTCAGCATGTCCTCGGCAGCAGCTGAGCAGCAGCGGCAGCCTGGCCTGCAGAAGGGAGCAGGCGGCCGCATCCCCGTCCTGGCTCCTTGCCTCAGCCTCCGCCAGGATCAGCTCCACCAGGCTGAGGAGCTCTGCTGCCTGGACCCGGAGCACCAGCTCCTCCCGCCGCTTCTGCAATGAGCACCTTTCCGTCAGTCCCGCAGCATCGGCGGGCACCCCTCCTCCCCGGGGCAGCCCTCCAGGGCCCACCTGTGGGGTGCGCTGGTCCCGACCCTGCCAGATCCGTGGGACGTGGATGCAGGCCCAGAGAAAGTCCAGCGAGGCAGAGGGGTCAAACCTGGACAGAAGCGGGGTGGTGAGGCTGGGCAGAGTTCCCAGGTGGACGGGATGGCACCCCTGCCCGGCTCAGGGTCCAGGGGCAGGCAGAGCCATGCCTCACGTGTCCCCAACAGCCTGGTCAGCCCCCCAGGTGTGCATGACCTGAGCTGGGGACTGTGTCATCTTCAAGCTCCCACCCTAATGGGCAGAGTGAGGCAGCCATGGCAAAGCCCAGGCGAGCTCTGGACCCCTAAGGAGCCTTCCTGCCCCATTCCCTTGAAGCCGCTTGCCCACACCTGAGCAGTGTGGGTGCCCTGTACACGGAGGGCCGTGGGGACTGGCCGTGGGCGCAGGCTGCCCAGTGAGCACAGCCCCACCAAGAGGGGCTCACCTCTGCTCCTGGCTGCTGCCCAGCAGGACGCGGACGCACTGGTGCAGCGTGGGCCAGCTGGACTGGTGCGTGAAGAGGGCCAGGAGGTAGGGGCGGAAGGATGGCACCTGGACGCCCGCGAGGCCTTTGCCCTGAGGAGGAAGCCACAGCCTCGCCTTAGCCAGCTCAGCTGCCCGACAGCAGAGGCACCAAAGTCATGTTTCCACGGCGACCTGGGCCCATCAGCCCCACAGGCCGGGGATCCGGCTGACCAGACGGGGGCCACAGCATTTACATCCCTTCCTGCTGACGAGGCCCGTCCCGCCCAGGAGCACGTCCGATGGCCGCCACCCCAGATTCCCGGGGCCCGCCTGCCTTGGGGAGCTGCTGAGGGCCCGCACCTGGGATCCTTCTGCAACCCCTCCAAGCTCCTCTGGACACCTGGACCAAAACCTGTCCCAGGACCCAGATCAGTGTGGCCCAAAGGGGACATGCAGCTGTACTCCGGTCAAGGGTATCAGGTCGGATGCCTCCTGGGCTTGCTGCAGCCCCAAGGGCACCCTGGGATCAGTGCTGCCCCTAGGCCAGGCGCCCTTCACCCACCTACCTTCCTCTGGGAGAAGAGCAGCTTCAGCTGTAGGTCAGGGCAGCTGCTGACCACCTCAGGGTCCAGCATCTCCAGCCAGTCCACCAACAGCCCTGACGAGGGGCCCAGGCGCATGGGCTCCGGGCTGCCGCCATCGGCGTCCTGTTGGCACATGGCGGGCAGCTCCCCCTCCTGCAGCAACAGGGAGCTCACCACCGCCACGGGCTTGGTGGCCACCAGGGGGGCGGCGGCATCCGTGCTGGCCGAGAACAGAGCCGTCAGCAGCTCCTCCAGGTGGGGGGACCTCACCTCAATGAGGCCTCGTAGCACTGTGACGGACAAGAGGGGGCTGCGCTCAGTGGGGCTGGGGGCTGCGCCCAGGGGAGGGCTGTCCCTGCCGGGGCCTGGGGGGCTGCGCCCAGGGGAGGGCTGTCCCTGCCGGGGCTGGGGACTGCGCCCAGAGGAGGGCTGTCCCTGCCGGGGCTGGGGGGCTGTGCCAGGGGAGGGCTGTCCCTGCCGGGGCCTGGGGGGCTGTGCCAGGGGAGGGCTGTCCCTGCCGGGGCCTGGGGAGCTGTGCCAGGGGAGGGCTGTTCCTGCTGGGGCTGGGGACTGCGCCCAGAGGAGGGCTGTCCCTGCCGGGGCTGGGGGGCTGTGCCAGGGGAGGGCTGTCCCTGCCGGGGCTGGGGGGCTGTGCCAGGGGAGGGCTGTCCCTGCCGGGGCCTGGAATGCCACGTGCAGCTTTTGGGAGCCAGCCATACCTTTGCTGACGAGCTCAGGCTCCACGCTGCGCTGCCCCCCAGCCTGAAGAGCAGCGATGACAGCCCGCACAGTGGGGCCTACCACCTCCAGGTCCCGCCGGAAGGTCAGGGTCTCGGCCAGGTGCAGCAGCCCACTGCGCACTGAGAGGAGGCCTGGGTGAGCACCACTGCCCAGGTATGCGCCCCTCACACCACCCGGCCGCCCACTGCACCCTGACCCTGCCCTCACCATCGCTGATCCTGTGTCCTGCAGAGAAGTGGGCGGTGAGCTGCTTGAGCTGGGCCCGGAAGGGCCCATCCTCGGCAGCTGGGCCCTCCAGCCACTGCAGCAGCTGCAGCAGCACTTTGAGGAGGAGTGAGGAGAAGCCAGTGTCCTGGGGCACACAGCGCTGCAGGAGCGAGGCAGTGGGTGAGCACCCATCAGGCCTCAGCTGTGCCCCGTACTCCCAGGGCAGACGGAGGGTCTGCGGGGCCACTTTGTCACATGCCCCTGCAGAGCCACCTCACAGAGACCCACATGAGCCCCGCACGACACGGGCCGAGCAGGACCATGCGCTGAGATCCCGCACCAAGTGGCAGGCATGGCTGGTGTGAAGGTCACTGCCACCCCGAGAAGACACAAGGGGCCCACAGCCCACAGCCCACAGCAGCATGCCACTGGAGTCCCCGCTGACCACTTGTGGCCCAGCTGCTGCTCAGCTACCTGAGAGCAGATGCCTCCAGCACTCAGGCCTCTGCTGGCCATGCGGGAGGCCGGCCCGGGGCTCCTGGCTCGTGGCTCCTGGCTCCTGGCTCTGGCCTGGCCCAGTCCAGCCAAGCGGGAGGCCAGGACGGGGCTCCTGGCTCCTGGCTTCTAGCTCTGATCTGGCCCAGTCCAGCCTTAACAAGTCATCTCAGGCGTGAACAGAAGACCCGCTCTCACACTCTGCCTTTCACATAAACCCATCTTACAAAAGAAGCAGCAAGGTGGCTAGGCAGCCCCTGAGCAGCTTCCTTCGTGAATTCAGGAAAGAGAACCCAAGGCCACAAAGGCAGCGGTCCCACACACCTGGTACTGGTAGAGCTGGCGCAGCAGTGGGCAGGACAGGAAGTGGCTGCGGTGCATGGCCATGGCCAGGGCGCCGGCATGCGGCGAGCTCAGCAGCGTAGCCAGCGCCTGCAGGAGGTGCACTGTGACGCCTGGCACCTCAGGGTTCCCCTGGCGAACGCGGGCCAGCTCCCGGCCCAGGGCCTGCTGCAGTGCCAGGGCCAGGGGCCGGGGGCTGGAGTTCTGCCAGCGTGCATCAGGGCTCAGCGGGAAGACCTGGAACAGTAAGGCAGGTGTCAGGCGGGAGGGCACCCCACACGGCCCAGGCCAGTCACTCCTCACCAGTTCCTTGCTGACTCATGTGGGACCCAGAACCCCAAGACTCATGGTGGGTCGTGAGCATCCCGAGTCCTCAAATGCCCCAGCTGCTTCTCCCCCAGAGAGGAGCAGGTCAGCAGAGAGGTCTGCGCGTGGGCCCAGCTGTGTGTGGGCCAGGGTCCACCCCTCCCCCGAGAGGCGTGTGCCAACAGGGCCTGGCCACGGAGCCCATACCTGCAGGAGCATGCCGGCCAGGTCGTCCTCGGGGCCGAGCACCCGCACCTGCGTCCCGGCCCAGACCCTCCCCTGGCCCGCAGGCTGCTCGGGGCTGTTCCTGGGCTTTGATGCCTCCATGCTGTCTGCAGGGAAAGAGCACTGCCACTGGCTGGAGACCCCAGCAGGCGAGCCCCCCACCCAGGCCTCCCTCAGGCGCACAGGAAGCAGTCAGAGGCAAACATCTACCGGGAAACAGCCAGGGCGCGGCGGGGAGGGGGCAGGTACCTCGGCGGGCGGGCAGGGAGGCCGTGAGCAGGGAGTGGAACGTCTGGCCACCGGAAGCACCTCGCTCGTGCTGAACCTCGACCAGGTGGGCCATGTAATCTGTAGGACAGAAGCTGGAGCTCAGGGGGCGGCGACCCACGCCCTCCCACAGCAGCCCCCGCCAAGGCCGCATACGCACTCTTGTCCACAATGCTCTGCTCCAGCGTCTGGGGGTCGTGGGCCACCGCCTGGTCCAGGGACTGCAGCAGCTTGCTCATGCTGGACACAGGGATGCCAAAGGACTGGACAAACAGCAGCAGCTGCTGGGGCTCCAGGTCCTGCAGGGCTGAGGGCAGGGCCGCTCGGTGACCGCCCCGGGGCCCTGAGCCCGTACCCCCTCGCCTGGGCCGCTCAGTCACCGCCCTGGGGTCCTGAGCCCGTACCCCCTCGCCTGGGCTGCTCGGTGACCAAGGTGCCTCGCCTAGGACGGGCAACACTTGGGACGCCCCATCCCCACACAGGGCACTGTGGCTCTCCCTGCAGGCAGCCGGCTCCCCTCACACCAGGACCGAGTCCTTTCTGCCCACTACAAGCCCATGTCCCTGTCCCAACTCCCCATCCTCTGCCAGGCCCAGCTGGTGACTGGTGCCTGGACTGGACCAGCACCTGCATCCAGCAGGCGAGGGACTTCCGAGCGGATCATGCGCAGCTTCAGCCAGTCGGGCAGCAGCAGGGCCTCTTCGGACGTGTCCACCAGGAAGGCCGTGGGCAGGGGCTGCTTCTCTGGAAACCAGATGCCCAACAGGGCCTGGAACTCCTCGTCTCCAGCTTCAGGAAAGACAGCAGGTGAGCAGGGATGCCCCGGATGCCAGCAGCAACCCTTGCTCCCCAGGAAGAGGCTCGGTGTGGCCAGGCCCAGGCCCTCCTTTGGGGAGGTCCTACCCAGCAGAGCCAGCTGTCCCTTTGGGGCCCTGCACTCGGGTACAACACATGGTCCCCAGCAGGGTTGGATCCCCAGTCCTCTATTCAGACGACCAAGAGGGAGGGAGGGCGGCCAGCCAGCTGCGGTGAGCAGCAAGTCCCATGGCCAGGACCTGGGCTTGGCTGGGAAGCCTCCTGCTTGGGGGTCCAGGACGGAGCACGACCCGCCGCTGGGGAGCAGCGGGAATGACTTGCCACACCTCACCCTGCTGCCTGCCCACAGGGCTCTCCAGCCGCCTGGATTGCCCCCTCCCCACTCCCAGCCACTCACTGCGGGGGGGGCCGAGCGTCAAAAGGATGACCATGGCGTGAACCACAAGGATGTGCATGGTGGCCGTCTCCCCACTGCTCCAGCGCAGGAACACCTGGTCCTGGGACTCGGACTGCAGGGAAAGGGGCCGGGGTGAGGGCCCAGTGAGGGCCCGGCGGGCTGGGGTGAAGGCCCAGTGGCAGGGGTCCGGCAGGCTGGGGTGAGAGCCCAGCCGGTGGTGAGAGCTGGGGTGAGGACCTGGCGGCTGGGGCCCTCACCCAGCTATAGACTTCCTCGCCCTCCTTGCTCTTGCGCATGCGCTGCACGTAGCGGGAGAAGATGGAGAGCAGAGCGCTCAGCACCGCGTCGGACGTGCTGCTGCAGGAGAGCTTGGCAAAGAGGTGGGACATGATGGTGGAGCGTTCCACAACCAGCCGGGCCACGTCCTGCACGGAGGAAAAGGGCCACGGGCAGCTGCTGGGACCCCAGCCCGGTGGGACCCCTGCTCCGGTGGCAGCCAAGGAGGGACGGGGGGACAGCCCCCACGCCGCAGGCTCCCGGGGGTGGGGTGAGGGGTCTTGGCCCGGAAAAGCCCTGGACGTGAGTGCCACGGCAGGCAGGAGGGGCACCACCCGAACCCCAGGACAAAAGGCAGCGGACCCAGCGACAGCTCCTATGTATCACTGGCGGTCGCCACCCCAAGCCAGCAAGGAGCCCCTTCCCAGTCTCCCCGCCAAGTCCCAGCACAGGCTGGCATGTGGGGCTGCAGTGCCCTCCATGCCCGCGGCCTGGAGGCCAGCACCTCACCAGGGCCAGGTCGCTATGTGGGCCCTGCTCCTCCACAGGCGTGTGCTGCGACAGGTAGACCAGGTAGGCGCTGATGGTCTGCGGGTCCGTCTCCATGTGGATGGCCTGAAGAGGCAGGGGGTGAGCTCGCCCGCTCAGTCCCTGCCCTGCTCAGTCCCTGCCCGGGGTATGCCCACCTGCTGCAGTGCAAGGGTGGTGGTGGTCCTGACGCTGTCGAACAGGGGCAGCCGCGGCAGGTCCCGCAGCAGCCACTGGTAGCCTTGCAGCACGTCCGCACCCCCCAGCTCTTCCTCGGGGGGCTGCTCCCGGTCCTCGCCGTCCCGCAGGCTGCCCTCCGACAGCACCAGCGACAAGCCCTGCACAGACACAGGGGATGACAGACACCCTAGGCCGGATGCAGCACAGCACCAAGGCGACCTGCCTACCACTGGGCACCTCTCGCGGAACAAGCCACACAGCGGGTCCCTGGAAGCCACTGGGCAGCCCACGCGACGGCAGGCAGGCGGTTGGCGCATGGCCACGGGCAGCATCCCGTCCCTATGCCCCCAGGAAGGGGCACCAGACCAGGAGAGGAGGACGGGCCAGGCTGTGGGAGCCGCAGGATGGCTCAGAGCACATGCCAGTGCAAGACCGTGGGCAACAGGGTGGCACCCACCTTCATGGCCAGCACCCGGGAGGCCACCTGGGAGGAGCTGAGGCGCCGCAGGAAGTAGTCGAGCACCTCACACGTGGTCTGCTCGTCGGCCTTGGGGCCTAGCAGCAGGTCCTGCAGGCGGCCCAGCAGCTGCCGCTGCTTCTGCTGCCTCTGAGAGCAGGGGAGAGAGCTGTCAGGATGGGCAGGCTGGGCCTGAAGGCTGGGGGGCCGGGTGGGCAGGGTGCGGAGGACGGGGCCCAGGCAGGAAGGGCACGCTGGGCATGGAGGCTGGGGGCCGGGTGGGCAGGGTGCGGAGGACGGGGGCCCAGGCAGGAAGGGTACGTTGGGCCTGGAGGCTGGGGGCAGGGTGGGCAGGGTGTGGGGGACATGGGGGCGGGGGGCGCTGGGGAGGACGGGGCTACCTGCCGCCTCCTGGCCTTCTGTTCTTTGCTCTCGCCCTCCTCCTCCTCCTCGCATGAGGCAGCGTCGTCAGCAGCATCATGCAGCAGGAACTCGCACAGGCACTGCACAGGCAGCACGTCCAGGGAGCCCTCGATGGACTGTACCAGGTCGGCGAGCCAGGGCATGGACTGCGAAGAGGCCTGGGCAGGAAACAGAACATGCAATCCAGCTCTGCGCAGCTCTGCCCAGCTCTGCCCGGCTCTGCCCAGTGCTGCCCAGCCCTGCCCAACTCTGCCCAGCTCCCTAAGCAGTGTGTACAGGTGCACTCGGCCCAACCCTGTCTCCACGTCAGAGACCCCAGCCCTGTCTCCACGTCAGAGCCCCCAGCCTTGTCTCCACATCAGAGCCCCCAGCCCTGTCTCCATATCAGAGCTCCCAGCCTTGTCATGACGTCAGAGACCCCAGCCCTGTCACCACATCAGAGCCCCCAGCCCTGTCACCACATCAGAGCCCCCAGCCCTGTCACCACGTCAGAGCCCCCAGCCTTGTCTCCATGTCAGAGCCCCCAGCCCTGTCTCCATGTCAGAGCTCACAGCCCTGTCTCCATATCAGAGCCCCCAGCCCTGTCACCATGTCAGATCCCACAGCCTTGTCATGACGTCAGAGCCCCCAGCCCTGTCTCCACGTCAGAGCCCCCAGTACCTGTCATGACGTCACAGCCCCCAGCCTTGTCACCACATAAGAGCCCCCAGCCCTGGCACCATGTCAGAGTCTCCAGCCCAGCCTTGTCACCACATAAGAGCCCCCAGTCCTGTCACCACGTCAGAGCCCCCAGCCCAGCCCTGTCACCAAGTAAGAGCCCCCAGCCCAGCCTTGTCATGACGTCAGAGCCCCCAGCCCTGTCACCACGTCAGAGCCCTCAGCCCTGTCACCACGTCAGAGCCCCAGTCCAGCCCTGTTACCACGTGAGACCCCAGCCCAGCCCTATCATCACATCAGAGCCCCCTGCCCAGTCCTGTCACCACGTCAGAGCACCCAGCCCAGCCTTGTCATGACGTCAGAACCCCCAGCCCAGCCTTGTCATGACGTCAGAGCCCCCTGCCCAGTCCTGTCACCATGTCAGAGCCCTCAGCCCAGCCTTGTCATGACGTCAGAACCCCCAGCCCAGCCTTGTCATGACGTCAGAGCCCCCTGCCCAGTCCTGTCACCATGTCAGAGCCCCCAGCCCTGTCACCACGTCAGAGCCCTCAGCCCAGCCTTGTCATGACGTCAGAACCCCCTGCCCAGTCCTGTCACCACGTCAGAGCCCCCAGCCCTGTCACCACGTCAGAGCCCTCAGCCCAGCCTTGTCATGACGTCAGAACCCCCTGCCCAGTCCTGTCACCATGTCAGAGCCCCCAGCCCAGCCTTGTCATGACGTCAGAGCCCCCTGCCCAGTCCTGTCACCATGTCAGAGCCCCCAGCCCAGCCTTGTCATGACGTCAGAGTCCCCAGCCCAGCCTTGTCATGACGTCAGAGCCCCCTGCCCAATCCTGTCACCACGTCAGAGCCCCAGGGCCTCAGCTCACCTGTCTCTGGATGATATCTAGGAGGAAGTCAGGGTTGCGGCTCCGACAGAGCAGGTGCCCCAGGCGGAGGGACTGGTTGAGGCCTTTTACTTGCTCCAGGATGTGGGGAGGTGGCCTCCGGGGGGGACCCCTGTAGGCCATAAAGACAAATACGTATTGGAAAGCCACACTCGCGGTAACCCGGGCCTTGCTGTCGAGCCAGAGCCAAAAGCCTTGCCATTCCCAGCCTAGCTTCAGAGTGTCTGGAGTTCAGGGCAGGGCCACACGGCCGGCCCCCCAGACCCCTCCACACCCACCCACACCCACGCCTGGCACCGCACGCGTGTCCAGGGACCAGGCAGCGCGTACTGGGGGTCCAGGCTGGTGAGCTGTGATAGCAGCAGGCTGCTGCTCTCCGTGATGGTCTGCTTGGTGGACGCGGCGGCCAGGTGGCCCTCGAAGGCCAGGATCTCCTGCTTCTCACGCTGGGAGAGCTGCAGCTCCCGGCTCACCATCTCTGCGCGGGTCTCCTCGTCCGTCAGGGTGCACGGCGGGTACGAGTAATTGCTGTGGAGCGAGCAGACACCTTGTCACACTGGACGCCTCGCAGGGCTCCAGGGAGAGGATCCAGGATCTGCTGGCACTTGCTGGCGCCCCACCAGGGCTGGGCTACCCTGGGTCTAGGTGGCCTTGGTCCTGGGAGTGCAGCCTGTTGTCCTCCACTGCCCAAGGCAGCAGACACACCCTCAGGCCCAGGCACTGCCAGGCCGGGACCCACTCTCCCTGAGCCCTGGCAGGTGCCCTCTTGATGAGGATGCCAGGGGCAGGGACACCACAGCCACATCTTCCTGCGCCCACACAGCACCCTTGGGCTGGAGCCCACCACTCCCCAGCTTCCCCTCCTGGGCTAGGCTGCTCACCAATGCCTGCAGCTCGTCCCAGGCAGCCGCAGTGAGGGCTCAATGGGCCCTTCCCAACCCATGGCAGGAAGTATCTGGTCACTTCCTCCAGCTGAGCCTCTTGCGGGTCATTCCAGCCGGCAGCCAGAGACACCAGCCCACCCGAGACATGGAGAGCCCACCTGGCATCAGCCGGGGGCCAGACCTACCACAGGCCTGCCGCTCTGAGCACAGCCCCATCCCATCCCATCCCCCACCTGTCCCCTGTCCCCCACTCTGTCCCTGCCCTGTCCCTCACCCTGTCCCCTGTCCCGTCTCCTACCCTGTCCCTGGAGGCGATGGGGCACCTACTTACTTAGTCATCACCATTTCCATGAGCATCTTGAGGGTGGGGTACTCCTCCCAGGCGGCTAGGCCTATGGGCAAGAAAAGCGAGGAACTGGGCCCAGGAGCCACGCAGCAGTCCTGGGCCGCGCCTAAGCCAAGCCCCGTCGGAGCAAACCCGGAGGAGGAGCAGCGGGCAGGGGCTCACCAATATTTTCAGGGTTGAAGGCAGCGACCACCAGCAGCAGGGGCCAGGCCTTCCAGTACAGGGTAGAGATGGCGAGGTTCGGGGGCTGGTACCTGGAAGAGGCAGAAACTGGGTACTGGTTAAGCAGGGAGAGGGGATGGCCCCAGCAGATGCCCTGAGATGGACCCCCATGTGGCTGCCTGAAGGACTCTACGGGCTCAGGGAATTTGGGGAGTGCAAAGAGAGCAGATCTCTCAAATACATGAGTGAACGCATGCAGCAATGCCCACACCCCATGTCAGAGTGCAATCCTGGCTAAGCTGCCCGTGAACCCACACCAGGACATAGGGTGCAAGAAGTGCTTGGCCCCACCAACCCCACAGAGACACAGATGGGGTTCCAGCCTTGAAGCTTAAGGCAATAACAGATAATGACTTTGTATCAGATGAACAAAAACAAGCATTCTGAAATAACGCAACAAAAAGCTCCAACAAACCCACCTTCACAGTGTGCAATTACTCTGCCAGCAACAGCTAGCCTGTCCACTGTACACACACACACTGTACACACACACACACACACCACACAGGCCACCTGTCCACTGTACACACACACACACACACACACTGCACACGGGCCGCCTGTCCACTGTATACACAGGGTGCCACCTCCTCCATGGCCCAGGCCATTCCTGACCCTCTCTAAGCCTGCTTGGCGTCTGTGGACTGGGACTGAAGGCTGACAGTCCTAACACTACCCAGGAGCATGCGCGGACCGAGGCCTCCCCTTTGGACCACACAGAAGCCCAGCACCCAGGGCACGGCGTGGCTGCAAAGACAGCACGGCTCAGAGGATAAATTAACTCGAGAATATGGAGATGGGGCGAAATTAAGGATCTACGCTGCGACACTGCTGACGTGGCCACACACCCAAAGGGACGTGCATACCCACTGTGAACCAGCCCAACTCCAGCTTGTGCAGAAACCAAGGTGGCAACCACACAATGCCTGTGGAAACACTAGGACTCAACACAGCCAAGGTCGAGCTGAAAAGGAACAGGCTAGGCTTCCCATGCGCTGGCTTTGAGACCCAGCACCACATTGGAGCGATGGAGGCCACGTGCAGGGTAGGGCAGACCAACCCCACTGACGGCCAACGGGGGCCCACCTGCCCCGTGACTTCAGATGAGGACCTAGAGGGGTCTCCTCAGCAGCAGGACCCCATATCAGCACGGATGCAGACACCCACCTCACTGCAGACACAAATGTGAACTCAAACCTAAGACCTAATGTGACATCTGCAGAAGGGGTGCAAGCTTAGGACCCGGGGCCCTAGACAGCAGGACTCCGCCAGGTCGGGCGGAGGCGGTACTGCTACACACAGGTCTGAGGAGGGTCCCAGCCAAACAGGCCGACACCTGGTTCCCAACACCTGCTCACACTCACCCGGCAGACAGGGCTGGTGGTGCCGGCACCCAGGCCCCTGCCCCCTGCATGCAGCTCCTGGTTCCTGGCTGGCCCAGCTCCAGCTGCTGTGGGCTGAGCGAACCAGCAGACAGAAGCTCTTTTATTTTTAAGGCTCATTCACTTCAGAAGTTAAGAGAAAGAGCTCTTGTATCCACTAGCTCATTGCCCAGAAGCTTCTAACAGCAGGACCAGGCTTCACCCTGGCCCCCCTGGGTGCAGGGGGCCCCCCCGGGTGCAGGGGGTCCCCCCGGGTGCAGGGGGCCCAGATCTCTGCTTCTTCCAGGCCAAGAGCAGGAAGCTGGAGCCAAAGTAAAGCAGCGGGACACAGCCTGGCGCCATCTGGAGGCCGGCAGTGGAGGTGGAAGCTTGACTTGCTATGCCCCACCTGGCCCCTTTGCCTTTTCAAATAAAACAAACTGAAAATAATATTTTTTGAAAAAAAAAAAAAAATCGACTCAGAACTGACTCCAAACAGGCCAGTGAGCTCAGGGAAGGTCCCAGTGTCACTCAGCGTCAGAGCAAGCTGAGACAGCCCCAGCCCAGCTCAGCAGGGGCGGCCCGTGCTCCCTGGGTAAGGCCGTGGGCGATGCCAGCTGCACAAGACGGGGCTGCAGCAGTGTGCTCAGGGCCCAGCCCCTGGATACGCCTGGGGAGGCTCGGGGACACGGCCCCTGCCATCTGCGTGGACTCGGAGCTCCACCTGACACTCACTCTGTCCCCTGCCATCTGTCACACCCAGAGTCCAGCACATGCAACGGCCGTCCCACCCCTAGATGTGGACACCCACACGACAGCAGGCTGGGCGCTGACCATCACATCCCCACGTCGGTCAGCCAGACCCCAGGACCGAGTGCTGGCACATGCCTGGCCACCGATGGCCCTGTCAGCTACCCCCAGCCAGGCAGCAGTCACAGTGCCCACGTCCTGCAGGAGCCCACTTGTACCCAACAGCCATGGGGAGACAGAGCAGGGACGGGGGCTGTGGAGCAGGGGAGGACGTTCCACGAAGGCTGCACACGAGTGACGTGTCAGCAGAGCACCAGCAGCCCATGCTGTGCAGCTCAGCCAGGTGAGGGCCAGGGCCTGAGCGCGGCGCGGCGCCTTACCCGGGCGGGAGCTGGATGTTCTCGGGGTGGTGGTACGTGCACAGGTTCAGCACGGCGTCGATCAGCTGGACCCTCTCCACCTTCAGCACTTCCACATCTGAAGCCCAAGGACACTTCATCTCAGCAGCTCGACCAGACCCCAGGGGCCAAGACCCCACGGGCTGGAGACACGCCGCACGTGGAACCCCCACCAAAACCCCCGGGAGCCCAGGAACCGTTACCATCGGCCTGCACAGCCGCGGCTCGCTTCACCAGGTGGTCGGCCAGCTCCATGGCGTCCGCAGGGCCGAGTGGGAGCTCCCGGGACAGCCCGATGACCAGGATGCGCATGAGCGTGTCCTCCAGGATGGGCACCTCAGAGCACAGGCGCAGGAAGAAGCTGGGGCGCACAGGAAGGCTGTCAGCCCCCCACACCACACATGCTCCCCCTCCCCGGGCAGGATCTGGTCCAGGCAGGGAGGGGTCTGTGTGGTGAGTCCCTGGTCCCTGCTGCTCCCGTGCGAGAGGCCTAACCCTCTCCAGGCAGCCTGGAGTCAGGTGGTCACAGACAGACCTCCTGAAGCTGACCGGGTGTGGTGGGAGAGCTCAGAGCCTGAGCAGCAGCCCGGGCTGGGGGACCAGCTGGGCAGCCGGTGACCTGGGGTATCAGGGACCACAGGGGTATAGGGCACTAGATCCTGGAAGTGGAGGGGCCCTGGCAAAGCCTAGGCAGCCCCAAGTCCCCCAGCACGCTCCCCTGCTTACTTGCGGTCACTCTCAGGTGGCCAGTTGTCCCACTTGTAATAGGTCTCGGGCTGTTCAGTGAAGAGCACCTTGTGTAGGCTGGGAGACAGGACGCTGTTCAGCACACAGCGCCAAGAAGGGCCCGGGGCCTCCCCGCACAGGACCCCCCACGATGCGGGAGCAGCTGGGCACCCTGAGCTGCCCTCACGGGCCATACCAGTGCACGTAGTCCTTGGGGGCGAGCTTGCTGATGGAGGGAACGACGGTGTGGAGCCACCAGACGGCATCCCGCTGGATGGCTGCGATCTGGTTCTGGAAGGAGCGCAGCACCTCGAGGTCTGGGGCAGACGGCACCTGGTCAGTGTCGTGACTGGGGGCAGTACCCGTGCCTCCCCTGACCCCCCACTGCAGGCCAAACACTACGAGGGGAACCGGACACCAGGGCCCAGGCGAGCACCAGCAGGACTAGGCTAAGGCCCGCGTGAGCCCAGGAGCATGGGACGGGACTCCTCGGACCCCCTCCTGCCAGCCCCTCGGCAGGCACGTCCCCCAGGACCTTGTAGAGGCAAACTGCTGGCTGACACCCCGCTCCCTGCCTCCTGCTGAGTCAGGAAAACGCCACAGGAGCAGGGTGCCTTCGCGGAGGGGCAGGCCTGGGGCACGGATGGCAGCTCTCGGGACGGGGACCTCCCCAACGCAACAGGCCTGATCCCGCGGCCTTACTCCTCTTCTCTCCTTTGTCCCAGGCGACGCCAGCCTCCTTCACCTGCGCCGTGATGCCCAGCATCATGGACACGGCAAGCACGTCTGTGATGTGGACCACAAACCGCTCCTGCAGGCACAAGAGGCGGGGCTGGGCACGGAGGGCCTGCACCTGACACCCGCTCCAGGGCCATGCGAGCCCGGGGCCGTCCCCGCAGCCGCCTGGGCCCAGGCACCTTGAACTCCATGTCGAGGTGCTGCGGCTCCCTGCGCTCCTGCATGAGCCCCAGGCAGAAGGCCTGGAAGTTGACCTCGTGCTTCGTCTGCTTCACGATCTCCCGCAGCAGCGCCCGCGACGCCCGCAGGTAGTCGTCCTTGCTGGTCAGCAGGTCCTGGAAGACCATGGCTAGGAACTGGACACAAGAGCACACAGCTGCGACAGGTGCCCACCAGGCCCTGTCCCCAGCTCCCCAAGGCCCAGTCAGGGCGCCAGCATCAAAGGCCTCCCTGCAGGCACATCGGCTCAACTGGCTCATCCTCCACCTTCGAGCACCAGGATCCCTTGTGGGCACTGGTTCGTGTCCCAGCTGTTCCACTACCCTGCTAGTTTCCTGCTGGCACCAGAGGATGGCTCAAGATTATGGGACCCTGCACACGAGTGGGAGACCAGAAGCTCCTGACTCGTGGCGTTGGATCAGCTCCGCTCTGGCCATTGTGGCCACTTGGGGAGTGAACCGGCAAATGGAATATCTTTCTGTCACTCCTTCTCTCTGTTAACCTGCTTTTCCAACATAAATAAATAAAAATAAAAAGCGCCTGGTCTGAGGCCAGGGCAGGAGGGCACAGGGGCTGGGGGAGGGGGGGTCCCTGGGGTAGGGCACAGAAACTATCACACCCACCCCCAACTCCCACGGGCAGCTGAAATCCACCAGCTCCAGCAAGGCCCTCCATGACCACCACTTCCCACAGCGGGGCCATGGAGGTCCAGGAGCTGACCGCCAGCCAGCAGTGACCTCAAGGCCCTCCATGACCACCACTTCCCACCACGCGGCCACACTGCCAGGTTCCTTGTTCAGCAGAGACGCCTGAGCCCGAGGGGCCCCACAGACGGGACCCGAGGTCTCCGCTCAGGGACGACAGCAGGAGCCGTGCTGAATGCCCCTGCCCGCCCAGAGCCTCAGGGCAACAAGAGCGGGGGCACTGTGGCCGTGCTGGGGCCCACCTTGGGTGCCAGCTCCGAGCTGTGCTGCAGCACCGTGTACAGGGTCTGCATGTTGTTGGGGTTCCGGGCGTTGGAAAGCTCGTTGAAGATCACAAACTTGATGGTGGTGCCCAGGTTGTCCTTGTGTGCAGCCAACAGCTCCCTGTACACAGCCAGCAAGCAGCACACCTGAGCAGAGACTCCCAGACACAGCCCAGCAGAGGCAGAGCCTGAGCTGGATACTCCCCACCCCCACCCGATACAGCCCAGCAGGCGGCAGGGCCTGAGCGGTACCCCGCGCCAGCTAGCACCCACTGCACCCCTCGGCGGGTGCCCCATGCCATCCAGCACCCCGCTGCACCCCTCGGCGGGTGCCCCATGCCATCCAGCACCTGCTGCACCCCTCGGCGGGTGCCCCATGCCATCCAGCACCCCGCTGCACCCCTCGGCGGGTGCCCCATGCCATCCAGCACCTGCTGCACCCCTCGGCGGGTGCCCCATGCCATCCAGCACCCCGCTGCACCCCTCGGAGAGGGCCCCATGCCATCCAGCACCCACTGTACCCCTCGGAGGGTGCCCCATGCCATCCAGCACCCACTGCACCCCTCGGCGGGTGCCCCATGCCATCCAGCACCCCGCTGCACCCCTCGGAGGGGGCCCCATGCCATCCAGCACCCACTGCACCCCTCGGAGGGTGCCCCATGCCATCCAGCACCCACTGCACCCCTCAGCGGGTGCCCCATGCCATCCAGCACCCCGCTGCACCCCTCGGTGGGTGCCCCATGCCATCTAGCACCTGCTGCACCCACCTAACACACAGCATGTAGTGGTTCAGGAGGACCTTGGGCTTGAGGCGGATTTTGATGAGGTGGGAGATGACGTCAGTGTCCTCGGGGCCGTGCGTGGTGCAGTTCATGCACACGGACATCAGCAGGTCCTGCGCGGGCCTGGTCAGCTGCGGGCGGCGAGGCAAGGCCAGGCTCCTCAGCACCGAGGCGAGGCCCGCGGAGCTCCCGGGGACCCCCGCCACAACGCACCTTGGGGTTCTGCAGCCACATCTCGAGCTTCTGCACGGCCATGAGGCGCACCTCCTTGTAGCCGCAGGTGGAGGTGAGCAGCCGCAGCAGGTTCCGGGAGACGCTGTCGATGGGCTGCCGTCGGTTGAGCTGGTCACGCAGCACGTCCAGTACATACTCCTCCACGCTCTCCGCCAGCTCCTCGTACCTAGGCCCGACGGGGGGAGGAGGAGGGAGGGAGGCTGTGCGCAGGACGCCCGCCCGCCAGCCCCCGCACGGCGGCAGCCTGGGATCTGAGCCGTGTGCATACCCACCTGGGCATGAGCTGGCCCTCCTGCTCTGGGCTCAGCTTCTCCTCGGCCACCAGCAGCTCCGTCTGGCCCTCCTCTTCTTCAGCCAGCGAGGGGTGCGGGCTGCTCCCTGCACATGTGCGGAGAGGCCCCTGAAGGGTCCCCCTGGGTCCGCGGGCAGGCAGGGCACCCAGCCCCCTGCCCCGCCCCGCAGCTCTCACCTGCTCCAGGGTCCCCTCCGCCACGCGCCCCCTCGCCCTGCAGCAGCACACTCTTGGGGGGCATCTTGGTGCCAAAGGCCGTCTGGATATTGTCCACGAACATGCGGCAGTGCGGGCTGTCCACCCAGATGCGCTCCCCCAGCGAGTCCTCAATGTAAACCTGAGACAACAGCCTTCTCTTCAGGCTGGGCTGGGGGCACACGGGCGCCCACTCCACTCCCGGCGTCCCCGAGAGGCGACCCACCTTGACAAACGTCTCGGGCCAATTCTCATCCTCTTCGTAGGCAGCCATGAGCAGGTTGCAAGCCAGCACAGACACCAGGCTGTTGCCCTTGGCCTTGAAGTTGATGGAGGCATCCCTCCGCAGGAGGCTGCACAGGGCCTGCGGGAGAGGGGGGTTGTACACACGCACACACACGCACGCGTGGCCGCTCGCAGGGCGCAGCCAGAGGGCAGCCCACCTCAATAACGCCCTCCGTGGCGAAGATGTTCGGCTTAATCTTGGCCAAGTACATGAGGCTGAGGTACAACGTGCTGTCGGGCTTGGTCCGCGTGACCTTCAGCTGCTTCACCGCCCCGCACAGCACGCCCTCCACGCGGTCATCATTGCCCTCCAGCTCGGCGGCTTCGATCTCATCCAGCAGCACCGTGGGCAGCACTGGAGGCACAGGAAGCGAGAGGTCACTGAGGGCAGAGGGGCCAGGGGAGGCAGCCGGCACCCACTGGGTACACACCCCACCTCCAGCAAATTTGGTCCCAGGGACCAGGGTGCAGATGCCCCCCAGGTGAGTACCCCCTTCAGGTAGACACAGGCTCCAGGCAGAACCCCCAAGGCGGACACACACTTCAGGCGGGACAGCCCCTCCAGGTGGACGGCCCCCCAACTGGACGCACCCCTAGGAGGACCCAGTCAGCTCGCTTGCCAGTCTCACTCACCCTTTCTTCCATTCCAGCCACCCTCGTCTGTCTCTAATGTGCCCGCTGCCCCCCCCCACTCAGCACACCTGTGCCACCCAGGGTCTCTGAACCCCATGTCAGCTGGCTCCCACCCTCAGCCCCACTGTTTCCTCTCAGGCAGCGGCATGAGCAGCCCATGCACGGAGTCCACGGCGTCCTGGACAAGGCGCTCATCTCACCACTCCACTTCCCGTGAGCCTTTGGGGTGCCCACAGGCCTGTCTTCCAGCTGCATCGGGCACGGCGCTCTGCCCGTCCCTGCCTGTCCGTATCCATTCCCCACAGCCCTGCTCAGCAGGCCGTGCCCTGCAGGCTCTTCTCCAGGCATCACCGCCCAGCTCCCGGCGCTGCCCAGTGCTCCTGCTGACAGCACGGCTGTCCGTTACCGGGGCTGTGACGAACACCTACACTGCATCCAGACACCTCTGTTTGGCCTGACACACCCTAGCAGCGGGGGACAGTGGCTGCGACTATGCCAGCACCCAAGATCACCTGCTGCTCAAACCCCACTTTAGGGGATGCAATGCTGGAATGGGGGTGGCCGAGCCAGTCAGTCCCACACAGCGGCAGACACCCCAGGCAGAGGCAGCTCCCAGAGCACAACCCGCCTGCCCCCAGCTGGCCTGCCCTGTGGACCCCTGCCCTGACGGTACTGCCCACTAAGCTTCTGCGCCCCGCCTCTCCCAGGGTGGAGCTCCTTAGCCACTCCCAGCACCCCAGGGCCCCAAACAGCCACCTCCCAGGTGGCCCCGGCCCCAACTTCACCTTCGATGGGCAGCACCGACGGCTCCTTGATGGATGGGGAGATGGCGCGTTTCTCGGCCACGGCGGCCTCGGCCAGGCGGCCCAAGGCGCTGAGTGGCGGCGTGGAGGAGAGCTTGGGGCGCTTGGTGAGGCCCGTGAGCGCCGATGCGCCGGACAGCGCGGCCGCGGCATCCCGCTTGCGCTCCGACGGCAGGCCCGAGGGCGCCGGCTTCAGCAGGGACGTGCTCTTGGACTCGCTGGCCTGACCCTTGGAGCCCAGGGCGATGAAGTCTCCAGGCGGAGGGTGTCCTACGGGACGAGACAGGCCGGGGAAGGCTTGTTAGCTGTGGCAGCAGTTGTGGGACGGCTGGGAACCAAGGTGCCAGGGCAGAGCTCTGCCGGTTCCCCGGTCCCCCAGCCCCTCATCCCCTCCGTCCCCCGGTCTGTCCGTCCCCGTCCCCTGTCCATCCACCATCCGTCCGTCCCCCAGTGCCCCGTCCCCCTGTCACTCCGTCCATCCGTCCCCCTGTCACTCCGTCCATCCGTTCCCCGTCCATCTCCCCCATCCTCCGTCCGTTCCCCGTCCCCCCGTCACTCCGTCCATCCGTCCCCCGTCCATCTCCCCCATCCTCCGTCCGTTCCCCGTCCCCTGTCATCCGTCCCCCTGTCACTCTGTCCATCCGTTCCCCGTCCATCTCCCCCATCCTCCGTCCGTTCCCCGTCCCCTGTCATCCGTCCCCCTGTCACTCTGTCCATCCGTTCCCCGTCCATCTCCCCCATCCTCCGTCCGTTCCCCGTCCCCCTGTCACTCCGTCCATCCATCCCCCGTCCATCTGTCCCCCGTCCTCCGTCCGTTCCCCGTCCCCTGTCATCCGTCCCCCTGTCACTCTGTCCATCCGTTCCCCGTCCATCTCCCCCATCCTCCGTCCGTTCCCCGTCCCCTGTCATCCGTCCCCCTGTCACTCTGTCCATCCGTTCCCCGTCCATCTCCCCCATCCTCCGTCCGTTCCCCGTCCCCCTGTCACTCCGTCCATCCGTCCCCCGTCCATCTGTCCCCCGTCCTCCGTCCGTTCCCCGTCCCCTGTCATCCGTCCCCCTGTCACTCTGTCCATCCGTTCCCCGTCCATCTCCCCCATCCTCCGTCCGTTCCCCGTCCCCCCGTCACTCCGTCCATCCGTCCCCCGTCCATCTGTCGCCCGTCCTCCGTCCGTTCCCCGTCCCCTGTCATCCGTCCCCCTGTCACTCTGTCCATCCGTTCCCCGTCCATCTCCCCCATCCTCCGTCCGTTCCCCGTCCCCCCGTCACTCCGTCCATCCGTCCCCCGTCCATCTGTCGCCCGTCCTCCGTCCGTTCCCCGTCCCCTGTCATCCGTCCCCCTGTCACTCTGTCCATCCGTCCCCCGTCCATCTGTCGCCCGTCCTCCGTCCGTTCCCCGTCCCCTGTCATCCGTCCCCCCGTGCATCCTCCGGGGCTCCCGCCGCCCCCTCCCCGGGCACACCTGACGGCTTGGCGGCGGCGCTCGGCCTGCGCACGGCGGCGGGTTTGGCCCGGTTCATGGCGGCCCCCGCCCGCTGCGGGCCCCGCTCGCCCCTCGCTCTCCTCCGGGCCAGCAGGGAGCCCGGCGTCCGCCCGGACGAGCAGGACACGCCGACGGGAGCGGCCCCGCACGACTCCCGCCTCCCGCGGCCCCGAGCGCCCGAGCCGGAAGCAGCCCTGTGCGCCCGCCGAGCCGGCTTCCGGTGCGCGACGCCCTCTGCTGGCGGGAGGCCCGCAGTGTGCAAGCCAGAGCGGCCTCGGGTGCCGGCAGGTGTCCACGCATCGGCTTCCGGTCACTTTGCTTCCCCGGGTGGCCTCGGGTCCACCTGCCGCGCCGCCTGGCACGGTGCCCTGGACACTCAGCCGCAGGTGCCTGGGGGCCTCCACCCGAGGTGGTCCTTGGCACTTAGCGAGTGCCCATGACGCCCTGCTGGCCACAGCTGTCCGCTGCAGGGTGGGGTGTGTTTGCCTCTCTCCATGAAGCCCCCAGGTCCTGCTGCTCCAGTCCGGTGCCCACCTCTTGGAGATCTTTCCAACAAGTCGAGCCTCCCCTGCCCCAGCTCTCCCCTGCCCCAGCTCTCCCCTGGCTGCTCCCCCAAGGAGAGGAAGAAACACGGGCGCTGGAGTTGGCACCACACATTGGCCGCCTCAAGCCCCGGGAGCCGGTCTGACTGTCGTGGCCCTCAAGTCCACTGCCAGGTGGAGGGAACAGGGCCTGGGGACACTGCTGAACCCAGTGGAGGGGCTCCGGGAACCTGCCGCCACCCAACACCTCCCCATCTGTCTCTAGAACTTGCCCACCTCGGCACATCCTGGTACCTGTATTGGGGGCACTCCTAGACGTTCCCAGGGCCACTCCTTCACCTCATCTGGTTTATGCTGGAAGATGGCCCGCCAAACCCCACCTCTGCGGGACCCCAATATCTGTCTGCATTTTCAAGATGGTATGTTTTATTGAAAGGCAGAGTTACAGAGGAAGAGTGAGATCTTCCATCCACTGGTTCACTCCCCGGATGACTGCAATAGCTGAAGCCAGGAGCCGCCTCCAGGTCTCCCACATGGGTGCAGGGGCCCAAGCACCTGGGCCATGCGCCACCGTGGCCATTCAGAGTGCACACTGGCAGAGAGCTGGGGTCAGCAGAGGAGCTGTCTGGGGAACATGAGCGTCCTCACTGACAAGCTAACCCTTGGCCATGTGCCGGCCCTGGAGCTGCCCATCACATGGGCACCTGGCTTGGGGCCAGTGGGATGCATGAGCCACAGGTGCTTGCTGTCGGTCTGTGATGCGCCACCCCCTCCAAGGCCCTGCCCCACTGACTGTGTGTGCGGGGTGCTCCTGGCCCCCATGCCCAGAGCAGGAAGAGAGCAGGGTGGGCACGTAGCCTGCAGACACACAGCTGCCTGTGATGTAACCGTCCTGGGCAGGGTCTAGCTGCTGTGTCTGCTGTGTGGACCCAACGGGGCTGCGACTCCCAGGGGGCCCCAGGGACCCCTGCTGCCCGCCACTCACAGGCCCTGTCCCAGTGGGGCTGCGTCTCCCCAGGGGCCCCAGGGACCCCTGCTGCCCACCACTCACAGGGCCTGTCCCAGTGGGCTGCGTCTCCCCAGGGACCCCTGCTGCCCACCACTCACAGGGTCTGTCCCAGCGGGGCTGCGTCTCCCCGGGGACCCCTGCTGCCCACCACTCACAGGGCCTGTCCACGGACCCTTGGTGCTCCTCTCCTCCCCCCTCCAGGCACCCCCAGTGACAGCCCCTCCTGGGCTGAGCACTCTTCCCCCTCCCCCAGCAATGATGGCTCCCCTGGGGTGGGGTCCCCATGGGGTACAGCCTCCCTTGCTACATCCAGACCTGGATGGGAGACGCATTTGCTGGGAGGCCCTCCAGTTCCAAGCCTCTGCAGGGACCCCACTGAGCAAGCCTGCTTCACCCTGCCCTCTGACCCCTGCTGCCTGCCATGTGTCCCAGCATCCATGGACCACCCACTGCAGTCTCAGGCAGCCTTCCACAGCCCCCACCTGGTGCACTTTTATCAAGCCAGCCTTTCGGTGCACTGATTTGGAGTGTGGGTGTGCGGCCTCAGGCTGAAGACACCCACACCCACCCCAAGGAGCCTGGTTTGCCCCCTGGCCCCTCTTCCTGTCTAGCTTCCCATGGCTGCAGGCCCAGGAGATGGCAGGTGAGGGCAGTGCCCAGGCTGAGCAGCCTTCCCGCAGCAATGCCATGGCTCCCTCAGGCACCCCAAGCAAGTGGGCATGGCCGACCGGGGGCAGGATGGCACCACCCGACTCATGCACCCCGAGTGCCCAGGGCCACATGGGGTCCCCGGGTGGGCAGACTCCCCTGGGGGCCTAGCCTCCGGCACCACCCCTCAGATCCAGGCTCCTCCGGGTCCACCCGGGGTCTCCGCCTCAGCCGGGAAGCCTGGGCTGCCCTGCGCCCTAGACCTCCAGACGTCAGGCTGCTCTGCACCCCGGACCCCCGGACCCCCGGACCCCGGGCTGACCTGCGCCCTGGAACCCCAGACCCTGGGCTGCTCTGCGTCCCAGACCCCGAGACCCCAGGCTGCACTGCACACCAGACCCCCGGGCCACCAGACCCCAGACTGCCACACCCACAGTACAAGTGTTGGCCAGCAGGGACCTGCCCACCCGAGGGCCGCCCACAGGGCGTGGCAGGGCCCTTCTGCACCAAGCCTTCTTGGGGAGTTACAGAGGCACCGGGTAGCACAAAAAGGCGAGGGACCCAGAGCCCCACGGCTTTCCCCAACGGGGCAAGGAAGACGGAGGCTAAGAGAGAGCCCCCACACTGAGAGAGTTCCCAAGGCTGAGGGAGAAGCTGAGGGAGACCAAGGCTGAGGGAGACCAAGGCTGAGGGAGTCCCCAAGACTGAGGGAGAGGCTGACAGAGACCCTGAGGCTGAGGGAGACCCTGACAGTGAGGACAGTGAGGGACAAGCTGAGGGAGAAGCTGACAGAGACCCTGAGGCTGAGGGAGTCCCCAAGACTGAGGGAGAGGCTGACGGAGACCCTGAGGCTGAGCGAGAGGCTGACAGAGACCCTAAGGCTGAGGGAGACCCTGAGGCCGAGGGACAGGCTGAGGGAGACAGGGGGCTGAGAGACTCCAAGGCTGAGGGAGAGGCTGAGGGAGACCCAAGGCTGAGGGAGAGGCTGAGGGAGCGGCTGAGGGAGCCTGGGGCGTGCAGCCGTCCCGGGAAGCACGGCCCGTGGGTGTTAGTTGGGCCCACAGCCACGGCGCCTGGCCTGTGGCTTCAGGCACAGTGTGTCAGCCCGGGCTCCTGGCGGCTGTCAGCTGAAGCTGCGCGGGCCACTTGGGGCCTGAGCCCGTGCACGGACAGCTGTTTCTCCTATACATGCACTTTTTTTTTTTTTAAGATTTATTTTTATTATTTTTTCATTGGAAAGGCGGATATACAGAGAGGAGAGACAGAGAGGAAGATCTTCCGTCCGATGATTCACTCCCCAAGTGAGCGCAACGGGCCGATACTATGCCGATCCGAAGCCAGGAGCCTCTTCCGGGTCTCCCACGTGGGTGCAGGGTCCCAAAGCTTTGGGCTGTCCTCGACTGCTTTCCCAGGCCACAGGCAGGGAGCTGGAAGGGAAGCGGGGCTGCTGGGATTAGAAGCTGCACCCATATGGGATCCTGGGCGTGCAAGGCGAGGACTTAACCACTTGCGCCACCATGCCGGGCCCAACATGCACTTTTTATACAGAGTACTTTTAGGAAATCTCGAAGTAGCAGAGGGGAGAAGCAGGCCTAGACCGTGATGCGGAAGCCTCGGCTTTGGCCTGTCCTCAGGGCCCACGTGTGTGCAGCGGGGCGCTCCGGCCATGGCGGCCTTGGCCTCAGCCGCCCAGGGAGTCCCACGGCACGCCCGTGGCAGCTCTCCAGTGTGGACTTGGCGGTTTTGTTTTTTAATTGTGAAGGTGAGGGAATAAATGGAGCAGATGTGCCCAGGCTGGGGGAAGGATGGCTGCGCACCCTCACAATCTGCTGGCTGTGGCACTGGCCTCCCTTTACCTGCCTGGGAAATGGGCACATGGTGTCCTTCCCTGCGAGAGGCTTCAGCGAGCGGCTGACCCTGAACCCTAACTCAGAGCAGAGCATGAGCCCAGGGTGGAGGTGGCTTAGCCATGTCATCCAGGCCACCCACTTTCAGTGCCCCAAGTCCGTATTTCTCAGGAAACCAGAGTGCTGGGCTGGGTGGGGGCACCCCGTGAGTGCCATGCGCTGGGGTCCACGGTCTCCTGGGAGGAGCTGGCTGTGGTTCCAGCAGCCTCAGGCTTTGCACCATGGCTGTCGGCAGCCCCTGGCCAGGAGCGGAAGTCCCGGGAGACAGCCTCTGGCTGGGGAAAGGGCCGCGCTTTCCAACCATTGTCTGAAAATAGAGCAGGCGGCTGGGGCAGGAGGAAGTGTTTGTGGGAGAAGGAAGACCGTGGGCCAGGGAGGGGCGGCCGGGGCCTTCTGACAGGACACTTCTAGCTGCTCTGCCCCAGGCTGAGCCAGCCGGTGGGAGGCAGGCCAGGGATGCACTTGGTGCTCAAGAAAGAGCCCGCTGACGTGCAGCAGGGCACCCACAGGGGGAGCCCGCTCACCTGCAGCAGGGCACCCACAGGAGCAGCCCACTGACGTGCAGCAGGGCACCCACAGGAGCAGCCCGCTGACCTGCAGCAGGGCACCCACAGGAGCAGCCCGCTCACCTGCAGCAGGGCCCACAGCCTTGGCCACACCTGCGCACTCCTGAGGTGCCACATTTTCTGCGGACAAATGGGAGAAACCGCCGCCTTCCCACCTTCCCTCTGAGCACTGGCCAAGGACCATCCCAGAGAGGCCGGCCCGTGTCGGTCCCTGTGACCGTGGCCTCCTGCGTGCTGCCGGATGCCCCAGCAGGGAGGGCGACTGGGGCTGCACCTAGAGTAGCTATCCCGGTGTCGGCCTGCAGCATCATGGTCCCCTGCTCTCACGGCTCTGTGGATGGCTGGGCTGAGCAGCGTGGCTACTCAAGGCCTCCACAGCAAAGTGCACTCAGTCCTCCGAGCAGGGAGCCCTTGGAAGCCACTGCTGAACTGTCCATCCTGGGGTCCTGCATGGGGGCGGGGCGTCGTCATATACAGAGCCAGAGCCGCAGCCCAGAGCTCGTGTTGGAAGTATTAGTTATTTTGAAAGGCAGGGTGACAGAGATTCCGTCTATTGGCTTAGTCCCCCTGTCAGGGCTGGGCCAGGAGCTGGGCATTCCCATGTGTGGCCCATGGGACCCATGGGTGCAGGGACCCATGCACCGGGCCGCCTTCTGCTGCCCCCCAAGTGCATTAGCAGGCACTGGATCGCAAGCAGAGCACCGGAACTCCGACCTGCAGTCCAGTGTGGGGTCCTGGCATCCCAGGCAGCTACTTCACGCTGTACCATCACGCTGCCCCCAAGCCCCGTGGGGACCGTCATCCTCCCTCCGACCTGGGAGGGAAGGGCACAGCGGCGGCCTCTAAGGAGACCAAAGTCGGCAGGACTGGGGTCTTCCAGCTCACAGTGCTGGGCAGGGGGACAGCCCCATAGGGCGCAGCCTGTGCCCCAAGTGGCTGCTTCTTCACCCCAGAACACCTCCAGTGCCCCCCAAGTGGCTGCCCCTTCACCCCAGAACACCTCCAGTGCCCTGAGTGGCTGCCTCATCACCCCGGGACACCTCCTGTGCCCCCGAGCGGCCGCCCTTTCACCCCGGGACACCTCCTGTGTCCCCCGAACAGCTGCCCCTTCACCCGGCTGTGCACTCCAAGGGGCACCTGCTCCTGTTACCGACGGTACACCAGGCCACCAGAGAGATCTTCCATCTGCTGGCTCATCCCCACGGGGACCAAGCTGGAGCCCTTGGGCCACTATCACCTGCTGCCTCTGGTGGGGGGGGGGGAGTGCTTCAGCAGGCAGCTGGGCCTCAGCCTGGACTGCAGCCTGCCCCTGACACCTTCCAGGTGGCCCTGGGCCTGGGCAGGGGGCTGGGCAGGGGACTCAGAGGGGGCACCTGACCCACCCTGGCCACACAGCTGGGCAAGGGGCAGGAGGCATTGGAAGTTGCCTCTGTGGTCTCCTGTAGTGGCCAGGACAGGGAGCTTCCCCCGCTGTGATGGGTGCAGACCCCTCTCAGTGCCTTCCAGGAAGGGGCAAAGCAGGCAGAGCCCACTGTCCTCCCTCCCAACCCAGGCAAAACCCTGGGCTGTGGCTGCTTCCTGGCCCAGCCTGAGAGGACCATGACTCAGGGGGCGCTGTCCCCACAATGCAGCTCCAGCCAGCCAGTCATGACCGCCCTGAGAGCAGATGACCGCTCAGACCCAGGGCCTCTGTGCGCAAATCCCAGTAGACCCCTTCTCCACCCCCAGTTCCTTCTCTGTCCTCCACACGGGGCAGGGCAGCCCTGGCTGTGCCTGACCCCACACTGGACACGGGCAGGGCACTACAGCAAACGCCTGCAGAGTTGCCCCTTTGGTGCTGCAGGATGCAGAGCCTGGCCTTCAGAGCTGCCTGGCCCTGTCCTCGGGGCAGCCATGGGCTGCCCTCAGTGCCCAGGTCCAGAATTAGGGGAGGTGTTTGTGGGGATCCTCAAGGGGCTAGCGCTGGCCCATGGCCCTGCCTGTTGTGTCCTGAACAGCCGTGGGTCCCCACAGGCAGTCAGCGTCCCTCCACTGACCCCTACCTTGGCCAGGACCACCTGAACACCCCCAACTCCCAGCATCCAGGCGCATGGACAGCAAGCCCGGGGACCAGGTGTGGCCAGCACAGACTGTGTGCAGAATCCGGCTGTAAGGACCAGGCCTCTGTGGTCACACACAGGCTCCGTGACCCGCACGCACTGCCTCCTCCAACCAGCTGGTTTAGACTCACACCGTCCAACCTGAATGTTTCTCCCAGAAATGTTTTATCTGTACCCCTTGATGCCCCCAGCTCACCGAGGTGACCCCTGATGCCCTGGCTCACCAAGGTGAACCCTGTCATTTGCAAAACTTTTAACTAAGCCCTGAGAGAGCCAGGGTGACCGAGCCCCCAGCCACTGGGGAACTTCCCAGGCCAGATCCGCAAGCCAGGAACACAACTGAGTCTCCCCGGAGCGTCTCCGCTGCCTCCACGGGGTGCAAGCAGCCGGGTGCTGCCGGGGGACATGGTGTCGGCACAGTGAGGCCAGCACCCACTGCGTGTTTGGATGTTGAATCGTGATTAGCAAAGCATCTTCCTGCCCTGCGGTTCTCCAGTGTCCTGCAGCCCATGCAGGTGCACAGGAGCTCGTCCTGGCCACGTCCACTCCTCGGCAGTCTGTGAGAAGTCATGCCGTGGCAGGCGCCAATGGCAAGCACAAGACCTGCTTTCCAGTTTTAAAATTTTTTTGTATTGGAAAGTCAGATACACAGAGAAGACAAAGACCCTCCGTCCACCGGTTCACTGCCCAGGTGGCCAGAGCGGAGCTGACTCGGAGCCCCTCCAGAGCCCCCCAGCTCCCTGACCTCTGAGTGGGCCCAGCCCACAGGCAGGGCAGGAGCAGGAAGCTCCCCACCCCCGGGGCCACCCCCATGTCACCTTGGGGGGCTGGTCTGCTGGGCTTACACGGAGCCCTCCTTTTAGCACCACACCCACGGCTGTTCCGTCTGAGGAAAACTAGTTTTCTGGGTCCACTTGCGGTCGGTCAGGGTGCCCGGCGTGTCCTCCCGGCCAAAGCTCCGGCTGCCGCTGACCTTGCCCCACCCGCACCCGGGACCGCCCCCAGAAGTCCAAGGGGTGACCCCAAGATCCCACGCTCGTGGCCTGTGGACTACGGGGTGCAGGACGCTCCAGGTCAGGAGCCAACCTAGGTGCACCTGCCCAGGTGGGGGCCCTGCGGAGGTGCGGCGGGGGCGGGGCTGGGGCGTGGCCTGTGGCGAGCCGTGGGAGGGGCCGGCGGGGCAGGGGCGGGGCTCCCCGGGTCAGGGCGGGAGCGGACGCGGAAGGAGAGGCGCGGTGGGTGGGGGCGTGGCCTGCGGCGGGCGGGGCGGGGCCGGGGGCGGGGCCGGAGCTCCCTGGGTCAGGGATCAGACGCGGAAGGAGAGGCGCGCTGGCTGGGGGCGGGGCCGCGGCGGGCGGGGCGGGGCCGGGGCGGGGCTCCCTGGGTCAGGGATCAGACGCGGAAGGAGAGGCGCGCTGGCTGGGGGCGGGGGCCGTGGCGGGGCCGGGGCGGGGCGGGTGCGCGGAGGAGGCGCTGGCGGGGCGGGCGCGGGGCGGGCGGGGCCGGGGCGGGGCGGCGGCGTGACGCGCCGACGCGGATCCCGGAAGCGCTGTCAGCGGCTGGGAGCCGGCGGCGCGCGGGCGGCGGGCGCCGGTGGGGGGGGCACTTGTTGTTGTTCGCGAAGTCGGAGCCCGGGCGCGCGGGGCGGCGGCGGCGGCGGCCGAGGGGCGGCGCGGGAGAGAGCGCGATCGCCAGCGGGGCGCGAGCCCGGTGAGTGCGGCGGGGCCGGGGCTGCGCTGGGGCCTGGCGGCCGAGCGCGCGAAGGCCCGGAGTTCTCGAAGCCCGCGGGGCCGCCACGTGCGGGGAAGCGGTTCCCGACGGGGGGTCTGCGCGCCCTGCCCCGCCACGTGCCGGCGTCGGGCCGGAGCAGCCTGCTCCCCGAGCCGGGCGTGAGGCGGCTGCCGGGAGGCGCTGGGTGCTGCCGGGTGCTGGTCGGTGCTGCTGGGTGCTCCTGGGTGCTGGCCGGGGCAGGTGGGCGGGGTCCGGGCAGGCGCGGGTGGGTGAGCTGAGGGGTGGAAGCCTGCGCACCTCTGCTCTGAACACCGTGCGGATGAAAGCGAAGCCAAACAAAAGCTGAGCTGAGGCGCGAGCGCGCGTCCCGGGTGCTTCCGGCCGCGTCCGGGCTCCGGGTGCACTGGACCTGCGGCCAGCTGCGCCAGGCCGGGGCGGTAAACACTGACTCACTCGGCCCGCCCGGCCGCGGCGGTCGAGACGCCGGAGCTGCCGTGTTTACTTTTGCTTTTTCTAAGTCACAGTCCCGGGCGGGCGGTGGTCACGTTTCCTCTCTGCGCAGTCAGGAAACTGAAAGTGTTTTCTAACGTCACAGAGGCAGGGAGGGAGAGCCAGAGCTGTGGCCAGGCCCCCCGGCCACCCACATCGGCCCGAGCCGGTCAGCAGCGGGACCTAGAGTGAGCTCTGCGTGGAGACCATCGCGAGCCACAAGGCAGGTAGCAGAGAGAAGGTTCTGGAAGAAGCAGTGGCTAGTCCCCAGTTGCCCCGGGTCCTCCCCTGAGCTGGAGCCGGGGACCCTGAAGACTGGGTCAGCCCGTGAGCTCAGAGCTGGGGCACGTGCTATTGCCACTGGGGCGCAGGTCCGCCCGTCCCAGGCAGTGCACACACGAGGAAGTGGGGCGCGCTGGGTGGTACAGCAGGTGGACATGGCATCGGCCGAACCGCAGGCTGGGCACAGCTAGCAGGGTCTTCCTGGGACGCGTGTCCAGCTGGGCGGAAGGAAGCCCCTGGCTCAGTGAGCAGGGAGCAGAGGCTGCCGGATGGGTGCCCGTCGCCAGCCACGGTGCCCGAGTCAGGATGACACAGCTTCCCCAGCAAGGTGACCAGGCAGACAGTGGCAGCTTGCTGGACGCTGCCCAGCCAGAGGCGGGCTGCAGGGGGCTGGGCTGGGGTGCCTGCGCGTTGTGGGCCCCCGTAGCATGGCCATGGCTCCAGCTGGAGCCTTGAGCAGTTGATGTTTTTACACAAGTGCCTGGGGCCCCCCTGGGAGGGCGCTGGGCTCCCAGCTTCCGGGCTGGGCTGCGGGGGCCACATCCTCCTGACTTCTGGGCTTGCAGATTTGCATATGTCACGGTTGGAGCCTGAGTCTGGGCCGTGGCTCCTGGAAAATCTGTCCTGTCACGCCTACACATGGCATCCCCAAGCCCAGGAGTGTCAGAGTGCCCACAGCCTGGGCCAGGACCCACCCTCAGGGAGGGATTGGAGGGGGGTCAGGGTGTTGTGCGTCTTGGGGACGCCTCCACCCCGTTCTCCTGGGTGGTCCAGGCCTGGACTGTGTGGGTGGGGGTTGCTCCGGGGGTGTGCAGGGCTGTGAGGTCCCTGGACGAGGTCACTGTGGGCAGTGGGTGACCTGGGTCCTGGCTTCTGCTCGCCTGCTCCTGGCTGGGCAGCTTCCAGAGACTGGGGCCTCGTGCCCTGACCCTGAGAGCCCGAGTCCCACTTCACGTCCCTGCATGGGTCCCCCTCAAGGTGCCAGCGCTGTTTCTAAGTGTGAATTTAGAGCCCAGCTTTGTCATCACCAGACAGACTCACCCAGTAGGTGACCACGTGGTGTCCGGTCTGGGACCCCAGGCTGGCAGGCCAGCTCCCCCTACCAAGGCAGGGGCAGGTTTGTCTGGGCCTAGCCTGCCTGCAGCTCCCCGATCACAGGCCCCTTCCAAAGCAGTGGTTATTGTTGAGCCGGTTACACTGCAGAGGCCCGCTCCGGAGCCATGCTGAAAGCAGCCCCTGTACATGCCACATGGATATGTTGGGGACAGACATGGCGCTCGCTGTCAGTCCCGGGCAGGTGCAGAGTTCATGAAGGGAGCGCCCCACTCGGGCCACGCCCGGCCAAAGGGCAGGACCCTGCCCTGTGCCCATGTGGGCGAGGGCCGCCCCTGTGCTCTCAGCAGGGTCTGGGGGCCCAGGCTTCTGAAGAAGCAAGGGGTGTTGGGAACTGAGCCCCTTGCTGCATGGAATTGGGGCTCAGAGGCGTCCCAGTGCAGGTGTATCCAGGGTGCTGGGGCCATGGCATATGTGTGGTCTAGGAGCCCCGTGCTGGGGCTTCTGGGAGCTGGATGGGACCCAGGGCCATGTCTCCAGTGGGGAGGGTTCCTTGTGTTGCCTGCAGTCACCTGTGGACCCTCCCCCTGCGTGCTGTGCTCTGTCCTCATGTCTTTCTTGGCACAGCGTCCAGGCTGGACGAGGCTCCAAGGCCGTCAGCCCCTGTGGGCTGCCATCCCCGGTGGGGTCCTGGTGCCAGGAGTGGGTCTTGGGGGCCATTTCCTGTTGCTGGGCATGCCCGACCTTGACCTCATGGAAGGGGTCACCAGGTCACCCAGCCGAGGCCCGAGCTGTGCGTTTTCCCCGGAAGCTCCCAGGACTCCCGGCTCTGCTTCGGCCCCTCTCCTCGGTGGGCCGCACGGGCAGTGGGTCCCGGTGTGTGGGAATGCGAGCCGGCTCTGTAAGCAGCCGTGACTCACCGCATAGCTATGCCACTGGCCCGTCCGCTGACGTCTCCAGAGCCCCTCCTCCTCTCGCTTCCTGAAAAACTTTCCAGGGCCCTCCTGCCGCCTGGCGCCCGTGCGTGGGGACTTCTCCAGTGCCAGTGGAGGGTAGGGCCGGGGAGTCAGGGTGTTGGGCACTGTCAGCATTCCCGCAGGCCCTGCAGGAGGCCTGTCCCGCCTGGCACCTGTGCTGCTGCCCGTCCTGCCCTCTCCTGCCGTCCGTGCCTGAGGGCCCCGCTGTTGCACTGGGCGCCTGAACGTGAGGGGTGGGAGGCGGGCGGAGGGCCGAGGGTCCGTCCCGGTCCGTCTCGTCCTGGGGGTGAGTAGTTGTGTTTATAGGGATGTCTCCCCAGACCTGACCTAAGTTGGGATTGCTTTGGGGCTTCTCTGTTTCCATGACGACCGTGGGGGTCACCATGGCAACTATCAGAGGGGAATCACGCTTGGGATGCTCTGGCTGGTTTTTCATGAATGATTAGAATGTATGACAAGGGCAGCCTGGAGCTGGGCAGGTGGGCGGCGGCAGCTCCACAGCCCGCCTCCCGCGGGGCCTGCTGCTTCCTGGGGCTGCTCCCCTACCCCGGCCGCAGGGTGCAGGTGGTGATGTCACAGCTGCAGTGCCCTTTTCTGCCTGCGGTAGGTGTCCCTGGGGTGCCAGGCAGGGTCTGGAGGACGAGGCACCTGCCGGGCTGGGTGTGGCCATCCCCAGCGAGCGACTGGCTGGTCCTGCGGCCTCAGACGGAAAGGTCTTGCCTGAGCTCGGGAGGGGCAGGAAGCAGCCACTGCCCGGCTAGGCCCACTGCTCAGCTGCTGCAGGGGTGTGCGGGGTCCAGCCTGGCCCCCGTCCCTAACCCGTGCCGCCCCCGTGCTGTCTTCCAGTTACTGTTTCCCAACAGTCCTGTCCCGGTGACTGTGCCCAGGTTATGACGACTAATCCCAAACCAAGCAAGGCACTGAAGGTGAGGGGGCCCAGCTGGGATGGGGAGGGGTTGGGCTGCACATTTATGGGGCCCGGCTGGCCGAAGCGGGGGTCAGGGAGTCAGGTGCCCAGCACCCACTGCCTCTGCCCACTGTGCACCCAGGGCCCGTCTGCCTTTAGCTTCTGGCAGCTGTGTGCCCATCCATGGTCGCCACCTTCCCAAGGCAGCCCTGGCGGGGATGGGGCCGCTGGGCCCAGGGGTGGGCAGCATGACCGGGCAGGGGGGCAGGATGCTGCAACGTGGACCCCCCGGGCAGCCCCGGCGCCTGGTGCTGACACACACCGTCCCATAGGTCAAGAAGGAGGCGGGCGAGAATGCCCCGGCGCTCAGCGATGATGAGCTGGTAACCATGTCAGTGCGGGAGCTGAACCAGCACCTCCGGGGCCTCACCAAGGAGGAGGTGACGCGCCTGAAGCAGCGGCGACGCACGCTCAAGAACCGCGGCTACGCGGCCAGCTGCCGCATCAAGCGCGTGACGCAGAAGGAGGAGCTGGAGCGGCAGCGGGTGGAGCTGCAGCAGGAGGTGGAGAAGCTGGCGCGCGAGAACGCCAGCATGCGGCTGGAGCTGGACGCGCTGCGCTCCAAGTACGAGGCCCTGCAGACCTTCGCCCGCACCGTGGCCCGCGGGCCCGTCACACCCACCAAGGTGGCCACCACCAGCGTCATCACCATCGTCAAGTCGGCCGAGCTGGCCCCCTCCGTGCCCTTCTCGGCCGCGTCCTAGTGCCCGCCGGGCCCCCCCACCGGACGCAGACTCGACCCGGGCGCTGCGGGGGCAGCGCTGCAGCTCCACTGCGGAGGAGCAGACTCTGAGCCCTGCGGGCCACACGCCATCCCACACACGCACGCGTGCACACACACGCCCTCACACGTCCACCCCCTCTCCCCAGCTGTGCCCCTGAGAGAGTGGGCAGAGGGGGCAGGGTCGGCCCTGGCGGGCTCCTGTCTTCCCTGCACACCCTTGCTGCCAAGGCCTGCTCCCCACCCCAGGAGGAGCGTGAAGGGGCCGTGAGGGCAGCTCTGGCCCTGGAGTGACGGGCAGCCTGCCTAGCCAGTTGGCGTACACATGCGTACTGGGCAGGTATCCACACGTCTGCAGGCGTGCCGTGCCAGGGTCTCAGAGGGATGCACTCCGGGTCCCCACCCACACTGGGTGCCAGGGCTGTGGGCCACGTGGGCTCAGGCACAGAGGGTGTCGGGGGAAAGGGGAGGGCGTCCCGTGGCAAGCAGCAAGTGCAGCCAGGCTGGGTACAGGATGAGCGGGTCGGGCACAAGGCGGGGAGAGCCATGAGGACGCACACCCATGGTCAGCTGGCTGGCGCGGGCTGCAACCCTGGTGCTTCACCAGCCGCTGCCTGGGCAGGGGGGCTGTCTGGTGGAATGAGACCCCCAGGTCCTGACACCAGCCGAAAGCCAGCACGCAGGGTCCCTGGGGCTCCCACCACCCGGTGAGCCCCCACTGCCCACTGTCGGCTGGGCAGGACAAGGGTGCAAGGAGGCCCTTCTGGGGCAGACGCACAGCTGGTGTTTTTACAAACAGCCTTTAGTACCACATCCATGGTAGGTAATCCATATTGGATATCATAAGGACCATGGGAGATATTTAACAGAATATATATATATATATAAAGTTATATGCACACTTTGTCGCACAGACGTTCCACCAGCGCCCTTTTCTGTCGGTCACTGTCAGCCTTCACTGGGGCAGAGCTGCGGTGGCTGGGGGTGGGGCGAGGGTCCTGCTGCCCCCGGACGCCTGGGCCGGGGGCTGAGCGTGCGCCGTGGCCCCCACCCTCCCAGCAGAGCATCGAGTCTCATTGTCACGATTTAATATATAGGTTTTTTGTTTTTTTTTAATTTAAGAAGAAAAAGACAAGGACCTCCGTGTCAGGGTTTTTCTTCTCCCACCTGGGGCTCCCTCCACAGGGACACGGCCCTCGCCCGTGCCGGCTGTATCAGCTGCCTGGCGTGTGCTTCCTGGCAACGTCATTTCAATATTTATTTCTGTGCTGAGGGCCCGCCCCGCCCCACCCTTCACAGCCCCCCTAATTTATTGCTGGAGTCCCCGCTGCTTCTGCACCCCCGCAGTAATAAAGTGTCCTGGTCTCAGAGCCTTTTGGCGTGCAGTTCCTGCTTCCCCATGCCCACCCAGCAGCAGGCCGGGGCCCTGGCACCTTGGGGGTGGCCTACCTGGGCTGCCAGCCCGTGACCCGGGGAGGGGTGGCAGGTGGCCCATGTGGCCAGCCTCTGTCAGGTGAGAGAGCCAGGGTCCCCCAACCAGCAGCCCAAAGTAGACCCACTGCTGCTAGCGCCCAAGCCTGGTGGGCAGGGTTGCCAACACCGGCAGCCATGGGCGCGCTCCTGCTCGGCGTGTACAAGCCTGTGGTGGGAGTGGACTCTGATTCCCCCAAGCCTGTGGGTGAGCTCTGGTCTGTCCATGGGGATTGGCCCTCGAGCTGCAGGCAGCGCAGTCCCTGGAGGCGTCGCTGCCTCACGTTGGAAGGCATAACCAGGCTGGTCTCATGGCCACGAGTGCCAGCCACTCCCAGCCCCGAGTCCGTCGACTCCACTCCTGACCCAGTTCCCTGGGAGGCAGTGTTGGCCCGAGCGCCTGGGGCCACTTGGGAGACCCGGATGAAACTCCTGGCTTGGCTTCCGCCTGACGCAGCCTCAGCCTTGTGGATGTCTGGGGAGTGAACCAGTGGCTGGAAGACCTCTGTCCAAGCACAGGAGGAAAAGGTTGCTCGCGGAACAAGAGGCTGGGGCTCACGGGCAGGGCAGCCTCTCTGTGCCCAGGCCCTGCCGGCACAGACACTGTGGGAGCTGCTGGCACCGCAGACTGGTTCTTCCCCACTCCCCACAATGCCCTGTCCCCAGAGGCCACATGTGGGCCCACTTCTCTGCACGGCCCCACGGGACAGCTGGGTGTGTGATGGGCCTCCTGCTGGCACACACAGCCTCTCCTCGGATTCGGGTCTCCTGGGAGTGTCCCATACCCTCTCTGCCCGCTGCCTGCATGGCTGTTGGGTGGCCTTGTGGGTCAGCCAGCTGCAGAGGGCATGATAAGGGGTGGGGATCCCCCAGCTGGGAGCAGGAAGAGCCTGGCCCCTTATCATGCTGCCCAGCTGGGCCCCGGAGAGCCCACGGCATTGCGTTCCTCAGTGGAAATGGGTGGCCAGCTTTCGGGGGAGCCATGGTCCCTGGCTGGGTTTCATGGGGTCTTCCTGTCTGCTGCCTCTTGCCCTGCCAGCCAGTTCTGGGCTCTCTAAGCCCCCAGGCCTTGCCTACCTCCTCTCTTCCATTTTCCTCCAGTCCCAGCCCCTTTTGCCCGGAGACCAAATGCCCCCAGGGCCCAGGGATGCCCCAGCCGGGAGCATCTGCAGGGCTCCTGCGTGGGCCTCCCGAGGGCATAGCCTGTGTCCTGAGCTGCTCGTGAAGGGAGAGGGAGCAGGCAGAGGGGCTGGCATGCTTGCTGGACTGAGCCATCCTCAGCCAACTGCCAGGGCCGCCCCAGGGCAGGAGGCTGCTCTGGCCTGGTCCTGCTCCTGGCAGTGCCACAGCCAGCTGCCCAGGCATGGGAGGGCCAGGCCTACCCCCACCCCCACCTCGGCCCGTGACTCAGGGTGCTGGCTGGCCAGAACGGAAGCCGACAGAGTTGTTACAAAACCCGAGGTGTTTATAAATAAGGGCAACTCACGCCCTGCACACATTCCCCGACCCAGCCCTGGCCTGCCTGTGTGGGTCCCGTGATGCCATGACATCTGCGCCCTTAGGCTGGGCTGTCCAGCTCTCCCCTGGCCTGGGGTCTGCTAACTCCATCCAAGACTCTTGCCCTGTTGCTCGCCCACCTTGCTGGGACAGCTTCTCTGAGGGCCTCTGCAGGAGGCCTGGTGCAGCTGCCTGGTGCCGTCCCCAGGTGCTTCAGGCAGCATGGGCAGAGAAATGACCTCTGGCAAGAGGGCTGGTGGGGGTGGGGTCCTGCCCCTTCCCAGAGGCCCTACAGGTCCTCCGAGGGGATCAGCATCCGTTTCTCCACATTCCGGCTCCTCCTGCCGCCACCACCCAGGTAGGTGCCAGGCGAGGGGTGCATGCCCTGGCCGGGCCCAGGGGTCTCGTGCGTGGCCTGCTGCGTGTACTGCTGGTAGGCTGGGGAGAAGTTGTGGATGGCATCCTGCACGATGTCCTGGGGACTCACTGTCTCCTTGAGGCCCGCTGAGATGCTCTGCATGGGAGCCGAGGGTCCTACAGGGAGGCAGGTGGTGTGTGGGCTGGGTAGCGGAGACCACGGGCCCTAGCCCAGCTGCCCAGGCCCAGACCCTGGCCTGGCATGACCTGGTGCAGGGGGCACGGCGGGGCACCCGGGTACCTGGGGAGTTCTCCTTCTTCTCCGAGTACACCTGGCAGGTGAAGGCGTAGCGCAGGGCGATGGATGCAAACAGCATCTCGATGCAGATGAGGAAGTTCTGATAGCCGGCCGCCAGGGTGCCAGCCTCCACGGTGCCGCCATCGCCCGTCTGCGCCGCGGGGATGGCCCCGCACCGCTCCAGCAGGGCGAGCAGCACCCCTAGGGGAGACAATGGCCACTCCCTGGGCACAGCCCACGCTCCCTGCAGCCTGGCCACGCCAGGCAGAGGTGGAGTCAGAAGTGCCAGCTGGGGAGAGTTCTTGGCACAGTGGTCCTCCCTGGCCGTCTGGCCTCCACCTGCCATCTCCTGCCCTGGTGGGGCCCGAGCCCAGGCTCCAGGAGCTGGGCAGAAAGATCAGACGTGGGCCTCCCGCAGCCCCCGCAGCCCCCCGCAGCGGCCCCACGCACCCTGCCAGAAGGACAAGAAGATGACGGCCTTGATGGTGAGGAACTTGAGCATGGGCTCGAAGGGTCGCAGGAGCTCCTTGGTGGCGAAGTAGAAGAGGAACAGGGCGTAGAGGGCCAGGCTGACGGAGGCGTTATAGACCAGGGTCACGTACAGGTAGCCACTGTGAATGCTGGGCCAGGCGGGGGGCCGCGGTCAGGGTGGGCCCGGGCAGCCAGCCCCCAGGCTCCTCAGAAGGCACACCCTGACCGCCATGTCCCCCCGTGCTGGTGTGTGTGGATGTGCACAGCACCACACGCGTGATCTAAGCAGTGTACACACGCCTATGTATGCATGTGCACATTGTGTGTGAGCACTGAGAACATGCGTGTGCCCAGGCCACACCCCCTCACTTGAAGTCCCCATCGTGGTATTTGCCGAACGCCTGCAGGACGATGGTGGTCAGGGCCATGACTGGCTTCACGACGCAGAATTGCAAGGTGGCCTGGGTGAGCAGAGTGCCTGTGAGAGCAGACCCCAGAGGAGGGGTGCAGGCCCCAGGGGAGGGGCGCAGGCCCCAGGGGAGGGGCGCAGACCCCAGAGGAGGGGCGCAGGCACCAGGGGAGGGGCGCAGGCCCCAGGGGAGGGGCGCAGGCCCAGGGGAGGGGGGCAGGCCCCAGGGGAGGGGCACAGATGGCCAGCTGGGCAGGGTGGGCCACTCGCCTGCTTGCAGAAGCGCAGGAAGCCGATGGAATAGGACATGTCCGGCAGGCAGCACGTGCCATAGAAGCAACTGGACCTGGGGTAGAGACGGCCCTGAGGTGGGGCTGGCTTGGAGCCAGGGTGCCCACCGCTCAGGGCCACCCCATCTTGGCACAAGAGGCGCTGGCAGGGCCTTACGGAATGGGCTTTCCGCGGAGTTCAGCCATGATGGCACTCTCACCCCCCAGGTACTGGAAGCACAGACTCAGGAAGCTGTAGATGACAAAGGCTGCGGGGGGTGGGGGGCACCCCCAGGGAGCATGTGAGCCCCCAAAGGCTGCGGGGGGGCACCCCCAGGGAGCATGTGAGCCCCCAAAGGCTGCGGGGGGGGGGGGCACCCCCAGGGAGCATGTGAGCCTCCCCCCACCAGCCTTGCCTGGGCCCATGTGGGAGCTACAGCCCCTCCCCTGGGCCGTCTGCCCCCACGTGGCCCTCACCTTCGTAGCAGTCCCGCACTGAGTCGAAGTAGACGTAGTAGGGGTGGCCGCCCAGGAGGAGGAGGCTGAGCCAGGAGTCGAAGGCGTAGATGGGCACTATGAGCAGCAGGCGGATGATGTAGCGTTGCTCCAGCGGCACCGTATAGGAGCGCAGGTGCAGCAGGATCTGGGCACAGGAGGGCGCAGGAGGCGTGGCTGGGACGCCCTCGGGCGGGCGGCTCGCTGGGGTTAGTCGGGGGCCAGGCCTTTCTGCTGCCATCCCACTGCAGCCATGCAGCAGCCCTGCCCGCCAGGGACAGCTCAGTGATGTCACCGCATGTCGGTCCCAGGCTGCAGCGTGAGCCAGTGCCGGCCGTGTGCTCGCTCTGTGAGGCGTGACTGGACTCACCCTGACTGTGCACCTGACTGCTGAGGAGGGAGCCGTACTTCATGTGTGTCCTTCAGCCACACAGAAGCTACCCAGATGTGTGCCGGGCCAGGGGAAGTCTCAGCCACGGCTGCCTCAGGCTGGCCACCTCGTTCCCAGCATCCCTGCTGGGTATGACCCCCTCGCAAGGTGCGGTAACTTCCAGGCGTCTTGCTGGGAACAGACTGACACAAATCAAGAAAAAGCAGCTGGATGCAAGGCTGTCTCCCGTGGCCATGGGCGACACCCCCAGGCTAGGGTGGGCACTGGGCTGGGCACATGAGAACCGGGACACCAAGGGATAGCACGAGGCCAGTGAAGACAGTGCTAGCGTGTCCCTCAGCGAGTGGGCTGGGGCAGGCGTTGGTCAGCTGTGACTACGGTGGTAGATGCCCTCCCTGTCTCACACTGGCGCACCTGGCACCCACCCCGTCCAACACTGGCACACCTGGCGCCCATCCCGTTCCACACTCACACCTGACAACCACCCCATCCCACACTGGCACCTGGCACCCACCCCGTCCCACACTCGCACCTGGCGCCCTCCCTGTCTCACACTGGCACACTTGGCACCCACCCCGTCCCACAGTGGCACACCTGGCGCCCACCCCGTCCCACAGTCGCTCCTGGCGCCCTCCCTGTCTCACACTGGCACACCTGGTGCCCATCCCATTCCACACTGGCACCTGGCGCCCACCCCATTCCACACTGGCATCTGGCACCCACTCTGTCTCACACTGGCACACCTGGCGCCCATCCCATTCCACACTGGCACACCTGGCGCCCACCCCGTCCAACACTGGCACACCTGGCGCCCACCTCGTCCCACACTGGCGCACCTGGCACCCACCCCGTCCCACACTAGCACCTGGCACCCACCCCGTCCCACACTCGCACCTGGCGCCCACCCTGTCTCACACTGGCACACCTGGTGCCCATCCCGTCCCACACTGGCACACCTGGCGTCCACCCCGTCCCACAGTCGCTCCTGGTGCCCTCCCTGTCTCACACTGGCACACCTGGTGCCCATCCCATTCCACACTGGCACCTGGCGCCCACCCCATTCCACACTGGCATCTGGCACCCACCTGTCTCACACTGGCACACCTGGCGCCCACCCCGTTCCACACTGGCACACCTGGCGCCCATCCAATTCCACGCTGGCACACCTGGCGCCCACCCCGTCTCACACTGGCACACCTGGTGCCCATCCTGTCCCACACTGGCACACCTGGTGCCCATCTCGTCCCACACTCACACCTGGTGCCCACTCCGTTCCACACTCGCACCTGGCAACCACCCCGTCCCACACTGGCACACCTGGCACCCACCCCGTCCAACACTGGCACACCTGGCGCCCATCCCATTCCACACTCACACCTGGTGCCCACCCCATCCCACACTGGCACACCTGGCACCCACCCCGTCTCACACTAGCACACCTGGCGCCCACCCCGTCCCACACTGGCACACCTGGCGCCCATCCGGTTCCACACTCACACCTGGCACCCTCCCTGTCCCACACTGGCACACCTGGTGCCCATCCCATCCCATACTGGCACACCTGGCACCCACCCCATCTCACACTAGCACACCTGGCACCCACCCCGGCTCCATGCTCCAGCTTCCTGCCATGTGCACCCTGGGAGGCAGCAGGTGGTGGCTGGTGCAGCAGGCCTCCCCACCTACCCTGGAGAGACCTGAGTGGGCTTCCCAGCTTTGGCTGTTGAGGATATTCAGAGCACCAATGGGCGGGTGGAGTTCTGTCTTTGTCTCTCAAAAAACTGGCTGTGGTACAGCAAGCTAACGTGCCACCTGCAGTGCCGGCACCTCCATATCTGAGTGCCTGTGTCCCGGCTAGCCGCCCTGCTTCCCACCCAGCTCCCTTCCTGCGGCCTGGGAAAGCAGAGGACAGGATCCCATATGGGCACCGGTTCTAATCCCGGCAGCTCCACTTCGCATCCAGCTCCCTGCCTGTGGCCTGGGAAAGCAGAGGACAGCCAAAACCTTGGGAACTTGCCCCTGTGTGGGAGACCCGGAAGAAGCTCCTGGCTCCTGGCTTTGGATCGGCTCAGCTCCAGGCGTTGCAGCCACTTGGGCAGTGAATCAGTGGATGGAAGATCTTCCTCTCTGTCTCTGTTTCTCTCTGTATATCTGACTTTGCAATAAAAATAAATAAATCGTAAAAAAAGAAGAAAGAACCAGGTTGGGGACTGGCACCATGGTATAGCTGGTTAAACCTCTGCCAGTGACACAGGCATCCCATATGGGTGTCTGTTTGAGTCCTGGCTGCTCTACTTCCGATCCAGCTCCTTGTTAATGAACTTAGGAGAGCAGTGGAAGGTAGCCCATGTGCGTGCGGCTGCTCCGGGAGGAAGTGGAGCCAGGGAACTCCTGTGCGAGGAGGTGCTATGAGCAGGGTGGGGTGCACACTGCACTTCCTGGGGCACGGCCCAAGCTGGCTTCGTTATCAGTCCCATGCTCCCTGCAGGTGTGCTGTGCCCAGCCCTCGGGAGCCTGCTGCTGGTCCTGGCACCACCTGGCTAGGTGACCCTGGCCAGCCACTGCCCTTCCTGTAAAGCCAGGGCCTAGCCTCTCTGTCCTGGCCAGCTGACCTTCCGCCCATGCTCGTTGAGACCAAGTCCATGCTGTCACCCCACAGGTGGCCATTCTCAAGGATGGCATCTGCCTGCCCACTCCCCAGGTGTGCCAGGGGGCTGTCCCCAAGGCACTCCATGCCCAGCTGGCTCCCTGGCATCCCCATCTCCTTCCACTCCAAGTGCCTGGACGGCCAGCTCCAGCCAGGCTGAGCCATGTCCACATCCCATGAAAGGGGGTTCCCCAGAGACGGGGAGGGCTCACCTGGTGGCAGGTGAGCAGCAGGGCTGTCCACACAAAGACCCCTGAGATGCCCCGGGCCAGCGGGCTCATGAGGAAGAGCTGGGGGGCACTCTGGGTTGTGTTCTCCACCCGGTCCACCTGCAGGTCTGGCATGGCTGATGGGGGGCTGGGCTGTGGCCAGGTGCTGACAACCAGGTGGCCTCCGGCTGTTCCCAGCAGCCCTGCAGCATGGCTCATCTGCAGGACAACAGAGGAGTGAGGGCCAAGGTGCAAACTCCAGGCCCAGCCCAGGCAGGGGAGGGGCCGAGGCCGGCCCCCGCAGAGCTGGCACCTGGGCAGGGACTATGCTGGCCAATGGGGGTCCCTGGGTCAGGGCTGCCCAGGACCACCCATCCTCTCAGTGGATTTGGGGTGTGTTCACCCAGCGCCCAGGCCCGGCCCCTCCCTGCCCAGGGCTCGGCTTCCTGGGAGCCGGCATGGCCCTGCTCCATCTCCCCTTCCCTCCGGAGAACCTTGGTCTCTCATGCCCTGGGCCTGCTTTTGGGGAGGCCTGTGGCTATTTCCTGCTGGGTCTGAGATACCCGGGACCCCTGTTGTCTGCCTGGCTCAGGGGGTTCTGGGGGCACACAGACAGCTCTGCCCACAACAGTGTAGGATGCAGCCTCCTGAGAGTGCCAGCCCCTGCCCAGTGCCCATCAGCTGCCCATCTAGGTAGTGGACCCACTGCCCAGCCCTGTACACCTGCCCTCAGCCTCTGGCCAGCCTGCAGGGTGCCAGGGCTACCCCTGGGCCCACAGCCCTGTCCAGGCTTCTCTCCTCCCTTGGGCCCAGCACACAGCACCTACCTCTTCGAACAGGAAGCTGCTTGGCCCAGTCGTGGGAGGCCCGGGCTCTGGGGAGGCCTGGCCACTCGTCATTTGCATGGCCACGTGGCCCCACTGGAGGCCTGCTGGGGGTGGGGTGGGCAAGGAGGGCTGTTCCGGGCCTGGGTCGATGGCTGGCACCTCCACACCTGCCCAGCGGCCCCCTGGAGCTCCTGGCTGAGCAGGGGAGGGCCCTGAGAGGGTAGGGAGGGAGGAGTGGTGGCCCGGCCCGGCCCCTCCCCGGCCGACACTTGATACCGCTGGCTGTTTGCTGGGCGGCTGCTGGCTCCCAGGAAGCCACCAGCCGCCAGGTGCCCTCACCTGCCGGGTGCTGGAAGGCCAGGTAGCTGCCACCTGCTGGGGACAGGCAGGAGGGACCTGCATTGAGCAATGGTGGCCCCATGCTGGGGGCGGTGAGTGGGGACCAGGTTTTTCTTCCAGCCCAGGAAGCCCGCTGCACCTGCTCTTCCCATTACAGATGGGAGCTGGGGCTCCAGAGGCTCCTCCGTGTGTCTGACACCCTGGGAGGGACGCCAGCAAGCTGCCTGGGCCTGCTGTTCCCGGGTATTCCCAGGCGCTCCGCCACCTGTCTGTGTCACCACCCATCCCATCCCCCCTGGAATTCTATCTGGCATTCCCCATGCACCCATGTGCCTGCCTCAGGGGGAGCTTCTGGAACCTGGTTCCTGGTTCCGGTCCTCATGCATGGATCTGTGGACCATGAGCTTCTGTGGGCCCTCCTGCCGGAGTGGGGTAGAGGTGGGGGTACCCTACAGCTTCAACCACACTGCAGGTATCCAGCCCAAGGTTCTTGGTGCCCGTGACCAGCAGGGTCCCTGATCCTGGCCAACACTGCCCTGCCTTCAATGAGATGGCTCAGGAACTGGGCCCGGCTCGAGGAGCCCACTTAGGTCACTGTGGGGACGCTGAGACTTGTGGCACAGCTTTGGCCGCACCCCCTTCCTCCAGGCCCACCTCCTCCCAGCCCTCCTGTCCTGGTCCAGGCCAGGTCATTTCCGGGAGCGGCCCCAGCCCCAGCACCATGTCCTGTGTCCTTGACCACCCAGCAGCCCCGTTCACTTCTCGAAGCCTGTTTTATCTGTCACATGGGCACAGTCCAGGGCCTTGCCAAGGCCATGCCCCTCCCATCAGACACTCTGTTCAGTCTGCCCCTGCCATCTCCCCCACCACCTTCACCCACGCAGTGCCCAGTGCCACCAGCTACCTGTGTGGGAGCCCCCGGGATGTCCCCCACGCCTTGAGGAGTGTCCACTGAGGGGCTAGCTAGAGGATGCAGCGAGGTCTGTGCATGCCCACCTGCCTGCCAGGGGCCCAGCGTCCAGGCACAGAACCCCCACCCCGCCAAGCACCCCGGGGAGGTTCCTGCCCGCCAGGGGCCCAGCGTCCAGGCACAGAACCCCCACCCCGCCAAGCACCCCGGGGAGACTCCCACCTGCCTGCCAGGGACCCAGCGTCCAGGCACAGAACCCCCACCCCACCAAGCACCCCAGGGAGACTCCCACCTGCCTGCCAGGGACCCAGCGTCCAGGCACAGAACCCCCACCCCGCCAAGCACCCCGGGGAGGTTCCTGCCCGCCAGGGGCCCAGCGTCCAGGCACAGAACCCCCACCCCGCCAAGCACCCTGGGGAGACTCCCACCTGCCTGCCAGGGACCCAGCGTCCAGGCACAGAACCCCCACCCCGCCAAGCACCCCGGGGAGACTCCCACCTGCCTGCCAGGGACCCAGCGTTCAGGCACAGAACCCCCACCCCGCCAAGCACCCTGGGGAGACTCCCACTTGCCCGCCAGGGGCCCTGGGGAGACTCCCACCTGCCCGCCAGGGGCCCAGCGTCCAGGCACAGACATCCCCACCCCGCCAAGCACCTTGGGGAGGCTCCCCCCTGCCTCTCTGGTTGGCTCCAGGGCTCCCTGGCTAAGGCCTGGGCTAGTCCCGACCCTTCCTAGCCGCTGGAGGGACAGCTCGAGTGGGCCAGGGTCTGAGGGTGGCCAGGCCTTTGTCTCCCCATCCTGGGGGCACCCGGAGGCTCTTACCCCTGTGCTGCCTCCGTGGCCTGACACACGCTGGCCGGTCTGTTTGTTCTGGGTCACTGCCAGCAGTTACCTGTCGGTCTGGCCGGCACCTGCAGTGGGTCCTACCGGGCTTGTCCTCCATCCCTCAGATGTGAGGCTAGAGGTGAGCCTTAAGAGGGTCCACAGCCCACGGGGGACGGCAGGAGGGCACTGTGTCCCCCCCAGCCAGGGTCCTGGGGTCTGGGGGAGGATCCTGCCTGAGTCCCACCCCTTCCGCTGTCCTGCATGTCCAAGCGGCTGGTGGCACTGACGCAGTAGAGGAGGATGTCCTCCCAGGGCGCTGGGGACCCCACCCCTGGCTGGCCTTGGGGTCAGAGGACCCCAGACCCCCTCAACAGCACCACCTGCCAGGGAGCAGCCACTCTGAGCAGGACCCCAAGGTGGGGGTCACTGCTCAGCCTGGCCCTGGGGTGGGCAGCAGGGCATGAGGAAGTACTGACTGTGGGCTCCAGGCCTGGGGGTGGGGTCTGAGCTCAGGATTCCCCTGCATAGCATCAGGCCTCCGCAGCCCCTCCCCACAGCCCTGGAGCGGGACACTGCAGGAGCTGCCTGCCCGGTCTCCAGCCCCCGACCTCCCGTGCTCCTCTGGACTGGCTGCTCAGGGCACTGCCATATCCCTTGCGTCTCTCCTGCCTGAAGCCACCCCCGCAGAGGGACCTCGCTCCCTTCCCATGTTGCTGTTGCTGCTGGGGAACAGCTGCGTGCCAGGCCCCACCCTCCTGGCACGGTCACACAGGTGGGCTTCCGGCCTGCCCTGTCTTCAGGGACTGCCCTGGCTGTCCCTTGGAGAGACCCCGAGCGCCGGCGCTGTGACCACCTGCTGGCCGTGACGTTCGCCTCACCTGTACAGGTGCGATTCCCTGCTTCAGGCGTCCCTTGGCAGCCTGGGTCCCTGTGTGGCTGTGCAGTGGATCGGGCGCTCAGGCCGGCCTCCTGGTCACCTGCATTCCCTGGGTGGCCCCGGGCAGGTTGGGCTCAGATCTCCAGGCGCCAGCCGTCTCAGCAGCCTGGTGCCCCCTTGGCATGGGTGGTTCCTCCTCTGCCAGCTCTGGGACTGAGACCTGGGGGCAGGGCCGTTCCCGGCGCCACCATCTGCCCGCCCCCAGGTCTCCCGTGCTCCCGGCAGCCCACGCCTCCCTCTGTGTTGCTGTGCCCGGCCCCTCCCCCAGTCCACAGGCAGCAGGGCGGTGTGGGGGAGGGGGCTGTCCACACCCCCTTGACCCGGCAGGAGTCGCCAGCCCTGGAGGCACACCTGGGACTCAGGCCAGCCAAGCCCCTTCCCACTGGAACCAGGAGGCCTTTGGGACCAGGCACATGAGCAGTGGGCTTTCCTTGGGGCTTCCACCCATCGGGGCACATGCCCTGCCTGGTGGCCACACCCGCCTGTGCTGCCCACAGGTGCACACACACACACACTCTCTCTCACCTTCCTGGAGGCTCTCGGCCGTCCCACAGGCAAGCAGGCAGGGCTGGCGCTGGTCTCCAGGCCAGGGGGCAGTGACATGGGCTGCACGTTGGTCCCCAGCCCTTCACTGCCCACCAGACGGGTGGCCACTGCTCCTGTCGGCACCCTGGCCTCTCCCACACCCAGAAGCTCCTCCCAGTGGCACCTGCCCCGCCAGCCTACCCGGCCCTACCTGCCTGGGTGCAGCTGTCACAGGGCCACACCCTGTGCCATCCTGTACTCTGACTCTGGAACTGGCCCTGCACCCCTCTGGCCCTCAGCGTGGGGGTCACCTCACGCACGAGGTGTGGGCTCCAGGTGACCACCCCACCCGTCTGCATGGTAGGATTTCCACCTGCTCGGGTCTCCCGGCTCTGTGTCACCTAGGTGTGGCCTCTTGTGGGTAGCCACTGCCTGACCTGTTTCCCCCTGTAAGTTAGGCACCGTGGGGTGCACTTGCATCCCGGCCGCGGGTTCTGTTTGGGGCTGACGCTGCCAGACATGTGTCCCTTCAGGACCCATCCCTTCTCTCTTCCCAGTCCCTCCGACACCCTCAGAGGGCCCTATACCTGGACAATGGCGCTAGGGTCTGGGCCCGTGCAGCCCACCTGGCCCCCGCCCCCCATGCAAGCTCACCAGTGGGCCCACCTGCTTCCCTTCCCCCACCTGTCTTTGCCCCAGAGCTTGGTCTGCCTCACACCCAACAACGAACCCACATGACCCCCCTGGGGCACCACTCCCGGTGCTGAACTAGGGAGTCACCCCCGGGCCTTCCCGTCACCATCAACTTATGGGGGTTCTGAGGCCTTCCCTGTCTCCCCTGCCTGCTGGTTTCAAGTGCCTATGCCCACTGCACGAGGGAAACTCAGCGAGATGGCAGCCCAGCAGGGGGCAGCCCTGGACCAGGATCTCCTCCCCTGCCATTCAGGTCCATAATTGACACCTGGTCACCCACTGGAGCGGTCATTAGGGCTGGGTGCCCGGGTCAGCATCCCACACAGCCTTTCCTCTCCTGTGGTTCTCCGCCTGGCAGACAGCCAGACTGCCACGGGCAGCTGTGTGATGAGAGGCATGGGGACCGGGCCTCAATCACCCCTCAGGGTGGTCACCAGGGCCTGGCTCTCTCTGGAGGCCGGGGAACCACGACCCCCAGACGAGACATCCACCTGAGGCTGCGGTAGTGGCTCCCCAGACCCAAGCACCTTTTTTCCCGGCCCAAGTATGAGCCGGGAGCCAACAGCCCACGCCCCCCAGCTCCTGGGGAAGGTCCCAGCTGGCTCCCTGACCCCCACCCAGGCAGGACACATGGCCCCCCATCCTGGTGCAGGCCCTGGCTGAGTGGCCAACAGTAGTGAATAAATGTGTGTTTGATTTGGGCCACTGCCTGGGAGACAGGGAGCGGGGACAGTGCCACGATGGGTTTGTCTCGGCAGCCCCTGGGGTCCCCATTGCACACAGGCCTGGGTGGGGACAGGGGCCCCCTCTGGCTCTGAGTGTGGCTTGGCTGTGCCTACAGGTCACCTGGCATTCCCCATGGACAGGGTGGCTGGTGGGTACCCAGTGATGGCGCATATGGACGTTGGCTTTGCAGGAGGCACCAGGCCCATTTTCTTCAGTCCTTTGTGAGGGTCCCTGGCAGCACAGCCCACCTGCTGCTCTGTGAGGACCCCCCCACCCGCAGCACAGCCCACCTGCTGCTCTGTGACGGCCCCTGGCAGCACTGCCCACCTGCTGCTCTGTGAGGGCCCCCCCCACCCGTAGCACTGCCCACCTGCTGCTCTGTGAGGGCCCCCCCCCGCAGCACTGCCCACCTGCTGCTCTGTGAGGGCCCCCCCACCCGCAGCACTGCCCACCTGCTGCTCTGTGACAGCCCCCGGCAGCACTGCCCACCTGCTGCTCTGTGAGGGCCCCCCCCACCCGTAGCACTGCCCACCTGCTGCTCTGTGAGGGCCCCCCCACCCGCAGCACTGCCCACCTGCTGCTCTGTGAGGGCCCCCCCACCCGTAGCACTGCCCACCTGCTGCTCTGTGAGGACCCCCGGCAGCACTGCCCACCTGCTGCTCTGTGAGGCCCCCAGCAGCACAGCCCACCTGCTGCTCTGTGAGGCCCCCAGCAGCACAGCCCACCTGCTGCTCTGTGAGGCCCCCAGCAGCACAGCCCACCTGCTGCTCTGTGAGGACCCCCGGCAGCACTGCCCACCTGCTGCTCTGTGAGGCCCCCCCGCAGCACTGCCCACCTGCTGCTCTGTGAGGACTCCCGGCAGCACTGCCCACCTGCTGCTCTGTGAGGGCCCCCCCACCCGCAGCACAGCCCACCTGCTGCTCTGTGAGGACTCCCGGCAGCACTGCCCACCTGCTGCTCTGTGAGGGCCCCCCCACCCGCAGCACAGCCCACTTGCTGCTCTGTGAGGGCCCCCGGCAGCACTGCCCACCTGCTGCTCTGTGAGGGCCCCCCCCACCCGTAGCACTGCCCACCTGCTGCTCTGTGAGGGCCCCCCCCCGCAGCACTGCCCACCTGCTGCTCTGTGAGGGCCCCCCCACCCGCAGCACTGCCCACCTGCTGCTCTGTGAGGGCCCCCCGCAGCACTGCCCACCTGCTGCTCTGTGAGGCCCCCAGCAGCACAGCCCACCTGCTGCTCTGTGAGGGCCCCCCGTAGCACTGCCCACCTGCTGCTCTGTGAGGGCCCCCAGTAGCACTGCCCACCTGCTGCTCTGTGAGGGCCCCCCCCCGTAGCACTGCCCACCTGCTGCTCTGTGAGGGCCCCCCCCCGCAGCACTGCCCACCTGCTGCTCTGTGAGGGCCCCCCGCAGCACAGCCCACCTGCTGCTCTGTGAGAGCCCCCAGCAGCATAGCCCGCCTGCTGCTCTGTCATGGCTCAACCCCCAGAAGGGAATCCTCACCCTCCTCCCGGATCCTGAGTCCCATGGGGTCCCTGGCCGCCTCCACCCTCCCGGCGCTTCAGGTCATGGTCTTCCCTGAGGGGCTGGCCAGGCTGCTGGGCACCGCAGTCCTTACCCCAAACTCTCCACAGCCCCCAGGGACAGCCACCTGCCATGGACTCCCTGGGCAGCTGCTGGGGGGAGGAGGGTTGAGCTGGTGGTCACCAGCGCCCTGAACAAACCAGATCCCGGGGCGGAAGGAAGCAGGGTGCAGATGGCATGCTCCAGGCCCAGGCTGTGTGCGCGCCACGCAACTGCCCCCTCAGGACCACGAGGGGTGAGTAATGTTGGGAAATGTTGACTTTTTTTTTTTTAAAGATTTATTTATTTTTTACAAGTCAGACATACAGAGGAGAGGCAGAAAGATCTTCCCTCCGATGGTTCACTCCCCAAGTGAGCGCAACGGCCGCTGCTTTGCCGAACCAGAGCGAGGAGCCAGGAACTTCCTCCAGGTCTCCCACACGGGTGCAGGGTCCCAAGGCTTTGGGCCGTCCTCGACTGCTTTCCCAGGCCACAGGCAGGGAGCAGGCTGGGAAGCAGGGCTGCCGGGATTAGAACTGGTGCCCATATGGGATTCCGGTGCGTTCAAGGTGACAACTTTAGCTGCTAGGCCACTGTGCCGGGCCCAAAACGCTGAATTTTAATGTAAAAAATCTGCAGCAACTGTTGGGGCAGCGGGGGCGCTGGTCAGGCCAAGTCCACTGCCAGCCCAGATGCCCGCGGTCACACAGACCAGGCCCTTCTTGGTCCCGCGACGTCGCTGGCAACCCGAGCAGGGCTCCCGTCGGTCACCACACCCGGCACAGCCGGATCACCTCCTTCAGGGCCCGCAGCCCCTCCAGGCTCCTGTCCTTCACGGCCACGGCCAGCAGGACGGCCCTGTTCCCGGCTTCCTGCGACACGAACGCCACCAGGTTCTTGGCAAAGACATGGACGAGAGGCTGTGGGGGAGAAGAGGGGAGGCTGGGTTCCAACTGCACCACACGACACCTGGAATCCCCACTGTCACCCCCTCGCAGCCAGCCCCACGCCGGGGGTCCGCATCACCCCCACACCTATGGCCCATGGCCAGCCCCAAGCCGGGGGTCGTCATCACCCCCACGCCCATGGCCCATGGCCAGCCCCAAGCCGGGGGTCGTCATCACCCCCACGGCCAGCCCCAAGCCGGGGGTCCGCATCACCCCCACGGCCAGCCCCACGCCGGGGGTCCGCATCACCCCCACACCCATGGCCCATGGCCAGCCCCAAGCCGGGGGTCGTCATCACCCCCAAGCCGGGGGTCGTCATCACCCCCACGCCCACGGCCAGCCCCAAGCCGGGGGTCGTCATCACCCCCCACGCCCACGGCCAGCCCCAAGCCGGGGGTCCGCATCACCCCCACGGCCAGCCCCAAGCCGGGGGTCGTCATCACCCCCACGCCCATGGCCCACGGCCAGCCCCAAGCCGGGGGTCGTCATCACCCCCACGCCCACGGCCAGCCCCAAGCCGGGGGTCGTCATCACCCCCCACGCCCACGGCCAGCCCCAAGCCGGGGGTCCGCATCACCCCCACGCCCATGGCCCACGGCCAGCCCCAAGCCGGGGGTCGTCATCACCCCCACGCCCATGGCCCACGGCCAGCCCCAAGCCGGGGGTCGTCATCACCCCCACGTCCACGGCCAGCCCCAAGCCGGGGGTCGTCATCACCCCCACGCCCACGGCCAGCCCCAAGCCCGGGGCACACCCGGCCCGCCCTGACCTCGTCCGGCCCCAGAAGGACCCGCGTGGTGAGCTCCGGCCTGCTGACGTCGCCGGCCACCCGGCTGGGCTCCAGGCTGACCACGGTGCCCATCTTGCCCAGCTGGGTCACCAGTACCAGGATGTGGCTGCCGAAGGCCGTGCACACCACCTGCGTGGGGACCCCGCACACCACTTCCGTCTTCTGCTTGGACACCACAAGCGGCGTGTCCTCCATGGCCGGTGCCTTCCGCGGGACGGACTCCGAAGTGGACGCCGCCGCGCTGGACCCGCCGCCCGGAACCTTCCGCCCGCCTCGGCTTCGCGCCACTCCGGAGCGGCCGCCCACACGCCGGAAGCGGCTCTGCCGGAGGGCGCGGGGCGCGCCGGAAGTCCGTCCCCGAGCCGGCCCGGGCGGTTCCAGGCAGCCCGGGCGCCTCGGGTTCCGGGGCCGCCTCGGGTTCCGGGCCGCCTCGGGTTCCGGGCTGCCGACAGGGCCGGTTTTGGGGCGTCGTGGCCGCCGGGGTTCCCGCCCCCCCATCTGGGGACAGGGGACCCGGCGGCGGGGCGGCCTGCGTCCCCCGGATGGCCCGCGGCGCTGCGGGCCCTTGGGCTGCACCCTGGGAGTGGCGGTGTGCTTGGCTAATAGTAATAATAATAATAATAATAATAATAATAATAATAATAATAATAATAAAACCAAGTGAGCCGGGCTGCCCCCTTGGTGACGGGCAGCCGGCGTTCCCACTCCGCAGCCCAGACTCAGGAAGGCTGCCTCTGGCCCCTCTGGATGCATCTGGGTTTCCAACAAGGGCCATTACCTTGGACAAAGCCAGAGAAAGCTGGGCACCACAAGGAATAATGGGTCATTGGCTGGTTCTTTTCTTTTTCTTTTTTAAAGAGTAATTTATTTTTATTGCAAAGTCACATATACAGAGAGGAGGAGAGACAGAGAGAAAGATCTTCTGTCCGATGATTCACTCACCAAGTGAGCGCAACAGCCAGTGCTGCACCAATCCGAAGCCAGGAGCCAGGAGCTCTTCTGGGTTTCCTACATGAATGCAGGGTCCCAAGGTTTTGGGCCGTCCTCGACTGCTTTCTCAGGCCTCAAGCAGGGAGCTGGATGGGAAGTGGGGCTGCTGGGATTAGAACCAGAGTGGGAGGTGGGCCTGGACCGCCCAGATTGCAGCCTGTTCATGCTGGGGTTAATGCCCAGCCTCGGAAAGGCGCAGGGCCTAAGCCACTGCCTGTGACAGGCATCCCGTGTGGGCGCCGGCTGCTCCACTTCCACTGGCCCTCTGCTCGTGGCCCTGGGAGAGCAGCAGATGCCCTGCACCCACGGTGCAGAGCTGGACGAAGCTCCTGGCTTGAGCCTGGCTCAGCTCTCGGCTTGTAACGAACCTGAGGGTCGGGGCCAGGCCCAAGGGAGTCGCCGGTGAGAATGTGGAACTGCCCTTCTGCTGCCCAGAGGACGAAGCCACATTCGTAGAGACCCAGAGTGGTGTGCTGGGTGCTGGGGACACAAAGTGGACGTAGAGGCACGGTGCCTTCATAGCCAGGCACGGCTGGCGGTAGGTGCAGGTGGAAGAGTCCCCCAGGGCCGCGCTGCCCACTCCGAGGAGGGGAGGACATGGTGAGGGCAGGGAGCACCCCTTCCGGGAGCTGGGAGCACACCCCATGACGTCCTCTGTGAGTGTGAGGGTGTTAGATACAGGACTTAGCCAGCCTGAGGCCAGGGGCACTGAGAGGCGTGGAGGCCATGCCTGGTTTGTTCTGCATCTTGGTGTGTGATGTCACAGCAGCTGTACAGATGGGCACATGGTCCCAGGCCAAGTTCAGCATGGAGCTGTCCTCCTCCGGGGCCGTGCTGCCAGCGCCTGATCTAGCCCAGCCCCCTGCCCAGCACACAGTGCCCGAGGCCCTCTGTTGCCACTCACACAGCATTGCCGGAGGCTCTCTGGGAGCGGGCACCAACTCGGCCACCTGCCCTCCACTCACCCTCCTCTACTGCCCATCCATCCTCCACCCGGCGTGAGGTGTCCGCTTGCTGGTCTTCCAGTGGGAGCTGCTCCCTGGGCCCTCAGAGCAGAGCTGACAGTGAGCAGGGGGTGCAGGGGAGGGCAGAGATGGGGACAGAAGGAAGCTGCCCTTCTTCACGGTCAACAGTCAGTGACCGGGCACTGATGTCCACGGGGCAGAGGACGGCCCTTCTGGGAAACCAGCAGTGCAAAAGCTGGGGTGCGGGCCCTGCCCGGCCACCCCCTGTCTGGGTGGGGGCCCTGCCTGGCTATGTTTTGTCACCGAGTCACTTGTTGGGGCAGGAATCGGTGTGACTTCAAGTCTGTGTTCACAGGTCTTTGTACTATTTAATTTTTTTAAAAAGATGTATTTTTTTTTATTGGAAAGGCAAATTTCCCTAAGCGGCTGCAATGGCTGGAGCTGAGCTGATCCACAGCCAGGAGCCAGGAGCCTCTTCACCCACACGGGTGCAGGGTCCCAAGGTTTGGTTGTCCTCTTCAGGCCACAGGTAGGGAGCTGGATGGGAAGCAGAGCAGCCAGGACTCAAACCAGTGCCCATATGGGATGCTGGCGCTTGAAGGTCATCGCATGGCCCCCAGACTTGAGTTTTAAAACCAACAAAGAAATGAAAAGGGGAAGGCCTTTTGGGGGGAGTGGGGTGGCAGGGGACTCCCGGACCCCAGGACCCCCAATGGTCCCCAAGGACCCCCAAGGACCTCTAAGGATCTCCAGGACCGTCCAGAACCCCCAAGGGCCCTCACGGACCCCAGAACCAACAAGGGCCCCCACAGATCCCAGGACCCCCAAGCACCTCACGGACCCCAAGGGCCCCCAAGCACCTCCAAGTGCCCCCGAGGACCCCCAAGGACCTCCAGGACTCCAAAGGACCTCTAAGGATCTCCAGGACACTCCGGAACCCCCAAGGGCCCTCACGGACCCCCAGAACCAACAAGGGCCCCCAAGGGCCCTCATGGACCCCAGGATCCCCAATGACCCCAATGACTCCCAAGGATGTCCAGAACCCCAAGTGCCCCCGAGGACCCCCAAGGACCCCCCAGAACCTCCAGGATCTTGGCGGCCTGGGAGGTCTGGGGGCCTGTGCTACCAGCAGAGACCGCACGGCGGCAGCAGAGGCCGCGGAACGCCCTCGTCGGGCAGCGCCTGGCAGGTGGACGGCGGTCCCCCCTCCGTCTGCTACGGCCTGGCTGGCCGCTCCCTCACCCTGCCAGGGCCTCCTGCCCTGCCGGTCGTGACGCGTGCCATGCCGAATCATGCGGTTAGCGTCTCCCTGGGTTCCCCTTACGTGGCTCTGATGGGTGAGCCACACTCTGCCTCCCCTCCCGACCTGTGGGACTCCCCAGTGGAGGCCCCCCTCCCCGGCAGGGATGTCCCATGGCGCTGCCAGCAGGACCACCGGGAGCAGTGCGTGCAGACTCCTGCCTCTCCCCTGGGTGGACAGCTCCTGTGTGCCCACTGTGGGGCCTGCCACTACAGGGTCTGACTCACTTTGCAGCTGCACCTGTCAGCCCAGGAGGCAGAGGGTAATGGCGGGAGGGGAGGCCACAGCCCCACCTGCTCCGGTTCCACGTGGAGACCCTGGACCCTGCGCTCCCCGAGCGCGCCGTCCACTTCCAGCTTTGAGACCGCTGCGGCTGGCAGGGACATGTTCCCTGGGGAGGACAGTCGGCCCCTTGGCAGGGTCTGGCTGCGCCCACCCCTTACGGCCCTTGTGAGGCGTGGGTCCCCAGGAGTCCTAGCCAGCCTGCACCTGCACAGAGTAGAAAGGAATTCTCCCTCTCGTCCGGCTAGGGATGGGGCTGCATGGGAAGGGGTGAGGGGGCACTTCCAGGGGCCTGGGGTCAGGGACAGCTGCTGAGGGGCCCCGCCCCCACCTGCCCCCTCTGTGTGGGTGTCCATCTCCCTTCTCAAGGCCCAGGGCTGGCTCGGCCCTGTCTTCATCACCCGTGTTCTCCGCTTTGCATCTGTGACCGCGCCGGGCCTGGGCCACCTGCACGCTTCCCTTCTTGGGGGCTCCCTCACCCAGGCGTGTCTCCAGGGGGAGGGCGTCCGGCCACCCAAGCTGTGCAGGCCTGCAGAGCAGCCAGGCTGACGGCATTTCCTTGGCGCCTTCCACGGCTCGTTTGCCTCACCTGCTGCACGCCAGGGACCCTGCAGCCCCTGGGGAATGGAGGCAGAGGGGCCGTGCGACCTATTGATTGTCCCTGGGAACCCAGTGGACGCTGGCCCTGGACCCTTGCCCTCGCCGCCTGCCAACCACACCCTACCTCCTGGAGGCGGTGCTCTGTACACCCACCACATTCCCTCATTCCTGGCGGTAACGGACAGCAGGCTGGACAGGAGGCCCAAGGACTGGCCAAACACGGGCTGTGGACAGAAGCTGTGTGGGAGGGAAGCGGCCGGGGACACGGGCAGCTGGAACCCTCACAGGTGTGGGCACACAGGTATTCGAGCAGGTGCACGCGGCTGCCGCAGATTCTGGGACCTGGTGGCTAGGACCAGTGCTGCAGGGACCATGGAGTCCTGCCCGCCTCCTGCAGGCCCCTGGGAAGAAGCTGGGCCTGATCCCAGAGGGCAGACAACCTCGGTGACACGAAGCAGGCAGCAGTCAGGTCCTTGCAGGAGCCGGCCACGCTGCCGGGCTGGGCAAATACTTCCCACAAGGAAAGCTGCCTTTGGTGTTTCTGGTTGCGGGGGAATTGGTTTGCACCCTAAATCCAAGAGCATCCACTGGGAGAAGGTGTGGACGCGGGGCTGGCGCTCTTCCTGCGGATCGCGGCAGCCGTGGCGAGCGGCAGGGGCGTGCCTTGGACACCAGGGAGGCTTGGAGGCCTCCCCGGACGGCAAGCTGGCACCTGCAGAAGTACCCAGGGCTGAAGCGGGCAGACTAGGCAGGGCTGCACCTTCCCCGCTGCACCCCACTCGCTCATCCTCCTCCACGGCCTCCACGGCCCCAGCTGCCGTCCAAGGCCGGACCCTGGGCCCCGGGCAGCCTCCTCAAAGTGGAAACCACGGCCCTCGGCTCCCCTTTCTGGCCAGGCAGGGGCAGTCGCTGGAGCTACTGGGGCTGCTGAAGGCCCAGGACGCAGGGGAGGGCCACCGAGTTGCCAGTCCTGGCCAGGCCCTGTGGCCGCAGCTGCAGCAGCCCGGGCCCCTCTCAGCAGTGGGTGCAGGGTTGGCCCAGGCCTCCTGGGGCCAGTGTTCTCGCACGTGCTGGGACCTGCCTTGTCCCGTGGACCCACCGAGCCCAGGCCTCAGTTGCTGCCCGGGGGGAGGCCAC